CCCACGAAGCCGAGTTTATTGACAGTGGTGAAATTTTTCGTATGTGTAGCCTATATGTGCATTTATATGCGTATTCAGTATTTATTCGATTTTGTGTATGATCCCATTACACCCCAATTGATCGCAAACTATTTTGAAGATTTTAGTCGATCGCGGTCAAAAGCAAGTTAGCCACCCCTGTAGTAGAGCATCGTTAGACCAACATTCAAAAATAAAAATGCGACGCTGAGTACTAAATCTGTAGATGTGCTTATTTGACGTTACAGCAGTCCCGCCGTTTCCATACAGATTCATTTGTCTTGTATAAACATGTATATATAAAGTTTACATTTTCAAAAGCCCCAATTCTTCCTCAACTGTTTAAGCAGCTGCACGAAAAAGAACATAGTTATACAGCTAATTTCAAAAAGTTCAATCTACCACTCTTTTCTCGATGGTTCTTTCGATTACCGAAACCGGACTAAAATAATACCGAGGAAAAAACGATAGCTAAATAACCTTATTTATAATGACAATTTGAAAAAATAACTAAAAACTAACTAATAACACTCTAAATCACGAAAATAGTCAACGTTTCCAATCACGCCCAGATTGCCTGAGTGATGAAGGTGGCCCTTTAATAAATTGTTACGTCTCTGTTGACGTCTTTCTGACCAGTGACTAGACATGTCACGAAAATAAACAAAGAAATCAAACCTCAAAAAAGCATTCGAGCTCGAGGAAGCATTCATTTTAAAAGACTTCAATTATAGTATACGATTATACTAGTATACCTTAAGAAGCTCGACGCAACAAATGAACTGAGGATATCGTGATATTAAGACGGTTAGGTCTTTTATTTTTTTAGAATCTTTCAAACATTTGCGGTCAAGTATTGCAATGGCTTGAATTGTCCAATAAAGTGCTGTAATGAAGTATTTTCAGAAAACTACTATTGTGCTAATCACGACCAAACAGTAAGTTGATAAAAAAAAATGCTGGAATATAATATAAAGTTGATACAACGAGATAGGAAATATTCCAGACATATTCTAAATCACACGATATGCAGCGGAATTTTAAAAGTAAACTAGACTATAGATCCAGTGGCGTAGCATCCACCCCCGCAACCCCTGCGGTCGCGGGTGGGCCCACATTGCAAAGGGGCCCAAGCGGTTAGAATTTAGAAATTTGCACGAGCACGAGAGTCTTGTTACGCCACTGTATTGATCAGTAGACTGAGTAGAACCTTTATGATAAATTTACAAATTACGCTATGGCTTTCGTTATCTTTTTCTACGCTTCTGATATATGCTTTTTAACTGTGGGCAAAAAAGACAATAAATATAAATTTACGTTGTTCTTTATGTTTGAATGTCATTTTTTTCCAGAACGGGCTTGTGAGTTGTTGGTAGGACGATTTTGATGTTCTGAAGAAAGAAGAACATTGATTTCCTGAAAATGTTTTGAGAAATAAAAGATCTGAAAAAATATTTTACTTGGTCGTTTATTTAGTACAAGAAACTTTTAAAATACTAGATGAATATTCAGAAAGTTAAATACCCAATACCCTATTGGATTCAAGTATTCTAACGCTAACAAGGCAAACCACAATACACAGGAATTTAAAATGAGTGGTGACTAGGGGCCAAATTTACCTTACCAGTCGAATAGAAGCGCATAGAGTAACAAATCTGAACAATTCTCAAATGAATAAGATTATTAGATTGACCTAGGGCTGAGTGACCCCAATTCATTTGGTTCGGACCTGAATAAAATATAACGTTGTATATGTAGCAAAGCTATTTTTGATTCTTGGTCTCCTGATACGTTTTAATTGAAAACATGCCCACATCAGTCTCAATTAATTCTATTTATCGAATTCGGTGCATTGGCTACTTTTTCGTATTTTGAGGTTGTTGAGAGTTTAGTTGCAATTTGTATTTGATTTTTATTCAAAATGTGTACATAATGTCTTATGTACGACAATTTCTAGGAAGTTTTTCTAAAACGCGAACATAACAATTAATTCATAACAATTTCTGAGAGGTTATGTTAAAATTAGAGTTTTTATATACCGGCTATATTGTGAAACGATCGCATTCTACTGGAGGAAGCGAATGAAATAACATTTTCAGGATATTTTATATCATAGGAATGATATTAATTGTTGTAGACTCAATGTCTAGTGAAATATGGCCATAACATACGAAATATATTCCAATATATTCTTTCTCAGTAAGATTCATTTGTCATATATGAGTAAATATTGTTGATGACCAAATGTTTTTTCACCTGAAAACTACTTATTTTCCTTAATTTTAACTGACAAGCAAATAACCAGTTAATGAGTGCAAAATGAGACATCAGTGTCCTATCTTATTTTGTATTGCAGCATTTGTGTAAGTATTGCAGTTAATAAATGAGCATAGGAAACGTTTAGTGGTTGTTATATTTAAGTCTAAAACAAACTGCTATTACAATGAAGATTACGTGGGTATACATTGACCAGCTGGGTGAAAGAAACTCAATAATTACTCTCATGATATCAAAAGATCTGCGGATTTTATTTTGCAGAATTTTTCAAACACTTGCGGTTGTGAATTGCAATGGTCTCATTTGTCCAAGAATATGCTGCTACGATTCAATGCTGACAGGGAGGTTTGGTTGTTCTGAATATGACCGAACGGTGAGCTAAATAAATAACCACTGGGTAATAATATGTAGTTAATACAACGAGACAGGAAAGCTGAAAAAGTTCGCTTGTATGTGCTAGAAATACATCCATCCTTGCAATATGCTCTCCAATGCAATGCTGATTGCCAAGTGAGAATGGGATAACGAAATCGCAAGGAATAAAATTACCATATTCGTCGATGAATCTTTCGGGTTGAAACTTGTCAGGGTTAACGAATTGTTGTTTCTGATCGCACTGACAACCGGTGTTGCAGAGTCAACACATAACCAATTTGTACTAAGTTCAGTTAGCTTTTCATCTAAGTTCGTTGTATATAATAAAAATGAGTAATATTAATATTATTCAACTCCTAAGTTTTTTTTTAATTTTACTGATTCATGTTCAACAATACTGAGCATATCGGCAAGTTCAATAGGAGTTTGTGTGTTTTAATTCATGTGTCGGACGTGCATGCATTTGTCACAGATAGAATTTTTTTCTGTGTGTTCAAAGAATCAGAAGACTCAGATTCTGGATTTGTGGTTTATTATGAGACAACTTAACACTTAAAACAGAGAACACAGGAAAACACGTCCGACATCCAACCCAGCCGAGCGAAGAAGAGGCGGGAAGCTCTTTTTTCTCACGACTCGATGGTGGTCGGAGTCTCACAGTAGCCGGACCCGGATGAAGTATATCCAAATTAACGGTCCTCGCATATCGGCAAATATAAAAGACAAACCAAACTAAAACACACGGATAATAAAATCCGTGACACATTTACATTGTGGAACTGCACTTTATTTATTTATTTAGCTGTGTTGTTTTATTCGTTCATTTTGTTTTTTCTTTTCTTTTTTGTCATGCTTTTGGTGTCCAGTCAGTCAGAGACAGCAGGATATCGGTATGCAGATATCAAAAGCAGCGTCAGATCGAAGGTAAAGACAAACAAATGTATTGTACGGTAACATCGTAATGAACTTTGAGGGCAAAGTGCCAATATTCTTGAAACAACTCTTATTATGGCAATTAATAAAATACCCTTTTAATGTGAATAAGTAACCCGAAAACTTCGACCTGGACTTTCTTCATCTGTGGACTTCGAGAAATCCAACTGTAATAATATATTTGAGTATGTTAGGCATTCCGAAAATTTATTTGGAATTTAATTTTAGACTCTAACTCAAAATTCTTTTGGGACTCTATGGTTCCAGTTTTTAACTCAAATATCAAAATTTCAACGTTTGTATATTGAAAAATTTAAATAACGACTCCCGAAACAACAATTTGAGAACTGAGTTCCTAAAAGCGAAAATGACACGTTATGAAATCCTTACACCGTGGAGAAATTTCTTTTTCCTACAGGCCTTCAGACCTACCGTATTATTTTTACAAAAATGTCAAAAGAGAATTCTTCTCGATAGCAGTGTAAGAAGTACCATTACATTCGTCTCGTAACAATGGCAAGAACTAAACATACATTGTTAAGCTTCAGGGATGCCTGCGCAACTCTACCTCGGTGGCCTTTTTGCATTTATTTATGTCGAGGTGATGGTTACCTACTTCCACTCTCTGCCATCCCAACACTCTACCACTCTTTTTCCCATTTACTTCGTTTGGAGAATCGACTAGCTGTATTGGGAGTATCTTGCAGATTAATGGGTGAAATATGCAAATAGGGCTAGGATATAAATCTACGAGACGAATGCAATGGTGTACTTACACTGATATCGAGAAGAGTTTTCCACCCGACATTTTTGAGAAAATTTAGTTAGAATCGTAGGAATAAGAAACTTTTCTACAGTTGGATCTCCCATAACATGTTATTCTTACTTTTGGGATACTTCAAAACTTAGGGCTTTAATTGTTGGGTCGGAGTCGTTATTCGAATTTTCCGATATTCAAAGTTGAAATTTTTATATTTGAGTGTTGAAAACTGGAATCATGGAGTCTCAAAGGAATTTAGAGTAGAAGTCTAAAATTAAATGCCTCAATGAATTTTCGGAATGCATAACATACGCAAATGCATTACAGTTGGATTTCTCGAAGTCATCAGACGAAGGAAGTCCAGGTCGAAGTTTTTGGGTTACTTATTCACAGTAAACGGATATTTTAATAATTGCTATAATAGAAGTCGTTTCAAGAATATTGGCACTTTGCCCTCAAGGTTCATTACGATGTTACCGTACAATTCATGGCTCTGTCTTTACCTCCGATGTGATGCTGCTTCTGATATCTGCATAACGATACCCTGCTCTATCTTTGACTGACTACCAACACTCGACACCAAAAAAATGACAAAAAGACAAAGAAAAACAAAATAAACGGATAAAACACAGCTAAACAAATAGAAAATACCAAAAATGCAGTGCAGTTCCACATTGTGAATGCATGCACGTCCGACACCTAATTTAAAACCCATATGAACTTGCCAATTGGCTTAGTTATGTTGAGCATAAATCAGTAAAATTAAAAAATAATTATACAATGAACTTAGATAAACAGCTAACTGAACTTAGTACAAATTGGTTATGTGTTGACTCTGCAACACCGGTTCTCAGGACCAAAATTTGTATGAAGCATAAAATTAAAAAACATTACACTAAACAAAATGTTGTTGACAGGGGAATAGTGGAATCATGAAATTTTTCAAAAGAACCAAAACTGAACCTAAAATGTCTTCCTCTGCATTGACATTTTCACACGCTCGCCATCCATTGCATGCAGTGAAGTTTATAGTCAACCTTGCCTGTAAGATGAAGAAATGGAAAGTTAGTTTGTTTTATCTGTTTCGGCATTATCAGGTAAATCCACTTAGATTGTTTTGCACGAGTCACTACGTTTGTTATTCAGCTTATCGTTAACTGAATCTTTATAGATCGATTATTATTCAAAATCTAATTGAATTGGCGGATCCATTTCTGACCTTTACCCTTCAAGGCACAATAGCCCGATGAAATTTGAAACTCGAAATTTTAAAGTGAAATTTATCAAAGTCTTTTTTATTAAAATCGACTGATCAATTGGCCTCAAATAATTACCATTCAAATTGACAAATACGTTGGTGTATGTGATTAAAAAGACAAAATCAGAAAATGAAAAGGGAAAAATCAGTGTCGTTTATAAACATTTGTAAGACAACCCGCTGTTTGACAAAAACATATAACTTACATGTGGAAGCTTAGTAGAACATTTGTTCCCTATAGCCGCTCACGTTTTCAAATTTGTCTTGTTTCTAGAAAAATATAATCAGTTTCAATTCCATTGATTTGTTTAATCTAAAATAAATTAAATGTAGCAAAATGTAATAAACACTATTCTGATAGATTTATATTGTAAATCGCTACAACCCACGTGTACGACTGATAACAAGCTCATAGTTAGACTTAGTTTTCATTTAGTTGGAAAATTATATAATTGATAATAGAAGGGGTAAACTCAATAACACTGGCAGTTATTACTTCTGACAAGGGTATAACAAAATTTTAAGGTTATTCTTTAGTCTCTGTGAGCCAATCCAATGTATCATCTCAATGCATTGACAAAATTAATTTTTTGATGTATTGAATTCCTATAAAATAAATAACTCAAACGGTATACTTATGCAACAATGCTCCAATGCCAACTACAAGAAAAAGGCTTTTTTTTTTATCTTAAATAACATACGTGACCCAATCTGAGGCCAACGTATGGAAAATGTTCTTTTTGTTGCACATATACGCCCAACCCCCCGTGGAAATTTTTTTTTAAAAATAGTAAAACACTTAACTCTCCACTTCACATAGTTGTATAATTCACAATGGTGACTTTTGCCTTGTTCCGACAATCAATCTTGAGTTCACGAAACAATAAGATTTGACATAGCAGCCTTAAAAACAAAATAAAAATGAATGAATGGCAATGGAGTGACAAATGCAACACCATGATTAAATGTATAACTAATTGAATTATGATACCTGTATCTTAAAATTTCATCTTAGTTTTTGCCGAGCTGCTTGTCGAATCTTTGATATACCCTGTAGTAATAGTTTACGATGTACAAGCGTAGAAATTGGAAAATGTTCAAGAACGAATCAAATTTTTTTTTATAAGTACGATCTAAGATCACCAAATACAGGCCACGCAAATATTTAACATTTTATTTGAACACATTCTTCAGCCTTCCCTAGTCTGGCCAACATATTATATACTATTATCACGACGGTTTGCAGCATCGAGTACTTGCTTAATCCGGTATTAAATCTTTTTCTGAACATTATTTGTTCTGATTCAAATAATAGAACACGTTCGAAAATATAAATATACTTATTTCTTAATTGGTAGTGAACATGAATCTATTATTATTTTTGGGTCAATTGAGTTCGAATAATTTTTTTTTAACTCACTTTACGTTTTTGAAAAGGTTTTTACATATAGAAAATATTGCTAATCTAAAATGTTTTGAAGGGTTTTTTCTAGGCTCAGATTAGATATTATATGCTTCTTCATTGGCTAAATAGGCTGTAGATTACCTATTATATAACATTAGCGTGTAATATTTACCCCTGTCTGGCGCCTATCTTCGCATGTTTGCAAACGTATTTTCTCCAGGATATGGTCGATATCTCTTTGTACAAAAATGATCCACGTAATTGCCAAACCATGTAGGATATCTGAATATATATGAATACTTGATAAATAAATATATTCACAAAATTTCGATTTATCAAAATATGTAATAAGTTTTACATAAAAGGTTCCGCGTATGCCATCAATTTTGTACAATTAAACATAAACAGCTTTACGCCAAAAATTGAATGCTATGAAAGAGGTGTTGCTAACGAGTTATTCATAGTAATGCCAACAATAATAAAAATACTTTTTAACACATTGGTGATCGCAATTGCGCGTATAGGTGAATGGAACCTATATACTGACCCACGACCCACATCACGAATGCAACCTATTGGAGTGGCACGTTAGTAGAACGTGTGTATGAAAACAATAAATATTGAGCACAATGAAAAAAAGACTCTCACTCATTCGGGTAACCAAGCCCCGCTTGATTTGTTCGTTTAGCTTTGTAGGCTAACTAAATATTTTAAAAATTTCGACTCACCTGCTGGGAATCAAAATTTAGCAAAGTTGAGTTTTAAATTGAAATTCCACGCTTCAACCTTTTTGATTAATATATTGTATAACTCCGCGATCATCGACCGCCAAAATCTTGATTGATCTGAATTCCTCAAGTTTTATAATTTGCCACTTATAATACCAGAAATAGCAGCGGCTTAGTATATCTATTTTATTATCGAAAAACATCTTCTTACCTTAATGTTGCATCCAAGGAATCAACGACTACGTTGAATAGCCTTCGTCCTACACGAAACAGACAAACCATTCGTCATCACGCACCCCAGTGACTGGTTGAGAAAAGCGACGCGCTTCTCCACATTCCCGCCCAGACTGATTAGCGATATCACATAATTAATTAACTGTAATCAAATTAGAAAACAGTCGAAGAAAAAATTGAGTAATTAGTCGGGTTACACAGGGTAGATCCCTTGGTCCGGCGATATCATGCGTCTGGAGATGTTTTGCGGTGTACTCCATGTTGATGCGAATTTCACAAATGACAACAGATATTGTTGCACGGTGAAGAGTTTGATAGGCGTATGGCTATAACAATAAAAGTATTGTCCTTTGATTACGGTATTTAAAGTGGGCCTATGTTATTCCTCTTCCTCTTTATTCGACGCAAGTTGTGTGATTTGCGTTCCTCGAGAACACACCGACAGACCGATAAATTTCGTAATGATATACAAAAGTATTATTATAGGCATTTAAACTTAGTGATTAGACTAGGAGGCGTCTAATTTCAGTGATTACCAGAACTGAACTAAATAGGCCCCCCTTCTCATCATTGTGTCTTTTGGTATTTTGTATTCTTTTATTTGAACTTCGGACGTGGATTTATGAGCAATTGCTTATTCCAGTGGGCTTTGATAACGCGATATATATTCTAATTACTGAGCGCACGCTGGTTAACGACGCAGTCTCTATGTCCTAATCAAAGGACGTCAATCCCGCTTGTTGGTTTACGCCTTACATCATAACATTGTTTATTCAAAGTCAATACTTTGGTAGTGTAAATGAGCTCCAAATATGTTTGAACATGGAAACCCAGGGCAATCAATATAAATTTTTCTTATATCACATACTTTTCTAGAATACATACTTTTCTAGGGCAATTTTATGTAGACACGCCACTGGCTCTGCGTGAATATCACAAAGTTTATATTCCCCTTTTTTCTGGTTTACCAAAGAAAATATTTATTTATGCAAATCTTGGTTTTGCCCGATCACTATCATACGCTATGGTGATGTTCTATGAATATCAGTTCAGGTACTTCTGTTTCGTTTTGCTCCCACTTTTCGTCGTCATGCGTGAGCTATGCACGCTTCATGCTGTTTGTATAGGCCTATATTTGCAAAGTGGTCTTGCAATACAATTGAAGTCATGTCATACAGTTGCCTTTCAGGAAACAATTCTTTTTTCTTCTTTTCTATGAAATTGAAAGCACTCAGTCAAGATTAAGCACTTTTAAATGCCAGAAATATATATCATGAATGTATATTGTATGAGGACCATAGCAGATAAAACGAGGGAGGTAATTGTCCCCGGGTGTGTGTCATCATGATACCATGCAATAAGAATAAGGCGAAAACCTTTTGTATTCGTAAATGTGCGTATATCTCATGGAACCTGTAAGAGTCTATGGTGTTTACCTGTCATAGGCGGTCACCTTTACGTACATGTTTCATGTTATCCGAATCGAAAAATGTGTAATCGACTCATTATACCATCCTCTAACGGAAAAGATCCCGGGCATTTCAATGACGTTATTCTATTACTCATTAGTAGATGCTCACTTTGTTTCGGAGCGAAATTGCGAAGACAACACACGAACAAGTTGTTATCCTTAGGAATGTGGTATTGAAATTAGTGAGTGGAGTTGGTCAGTTCTTGTTGGTATCGGAGTCGAATGTAAAAGCCGACATTTTACATCGTTCCAAAATATCTTAATATCTTATCTTATGCCAAGTTATACCATAACAGCTGGCGGGTCTGGTCTTGAGGGTCTAAATAGCGTTACAAGTTGCGGAAATTTTAGTATGTAGAAGACAGAAAAAAGTTAGGTTTTTACATTTCGAAAAGGGGGTGGTTCCGACCCTCACACATCCCCTGGCTACGCCCCTGTTTTTTACTGTCGCTTTATATAATCTACTCAACTTATATAAGTTGGTACAACTTGTTTTATTCGATTAATCGAAAAGCTGAATATCAGAAAAAAAAACAGGTTTTTACCATCTGAAGTTTTCAAAGCCGCTCACTGCCAGGCGAATACATGCATATCGATTGCGTTTCAATCTTTTAGGCCAGCGAGTAGCCGACTATGTCATCGCTCGCGAAATTTCGACTGAAACGCTATCAAACCTACATTGTAAAATAAATTTTGTCCAACAAAAGAAACCGACGAACGGTTGTTTGAGGTGACGTCCGGGAAATTTACGATCAGATGGGATCTCGCTTTATATCAATATTTGCGCTGTAAAACGCGGCCAGGTTGGATTTTATTTTTCTTCTTAACTTATCGATCGAAAATGCTGCATAATTACCGCAGGAATACGCTTGGGAGCCCGCGAGGAAAATATCGATTTGAGTGACCACCGGTTACAGGTCGACTTACTGTAATTGAATTTTTGATAATCCTTGCTGCGAAGTTGTTTAGTATAAGTAACACGAGGATGAGATTTATTATTTTTTTTACGGAACGTTGATATTGCGCTATGGTACTTGATCGAGCAGTCCAGCAGGTGATGTTTGGAGAGATTGTGACACGAGCTGACCAACCGAAAAGCAAACTAACCCAAATTGAAGATTTTCTCAATGGATATAACTGCGATATAGTTCCATCTGTATGAGCATATTTCATGTAAAATGACACAATTATTACCATCCAGTAGTTTATAAAGATTGTTTTGTTCGGAAACTTAGCCTTTATATTTAGCAGGAGTAAAAGAAATTCGTAGTTCCGTAAAGATACGAATTAATTGATGTTTCTAGTTACATCAGTCTCTTAGATTTATGAGAATCAGGAAATCGAAAGCCTATAGCAACATTCTTCTAGTCACTACATAAACCATTAGTCACAAAAAGAACGAAACTCTATTTGTATACAACAAAGCGTTGTGATACTTCCGTATAAAAAGGCTATAAAAATTTGTGATTTGGCATCAGGAATAAATACGAAACTTAGAATGTACAGGTTTATTAATAAGATCCACTATTAGTATGCTATTTTGCCCCGTCTAGTACCCTAGTACATAAACAATTATCTTAGCGTTTGCAAATACATTCGATAATGCTCATAAATTTTGGATGAGGAATAAAGGTTGCATAGCACGCCGTTGTCTGCAGAATTGTTAGATTTGGAAATATCATTCACAGCTGAGTAGTGAAGTTGCGGTAAACCGAAAACTTGGAGCTTCTGAAAATGAAGGAGTTTAGTTAATATAGAAACTTACACGTGGTGTACAATCAAGCACGCCAGATAGGTTATTGGATTGATATTGCAAATTTCGAACGTAATTGATTAAGTGCTCATGGCCTCACTTAGGACACAGCATCGATAGAGAGAAAGATTTAACAAAGTAAGCACCGTCATAAATTCGAATAAAAACGGAAAATTGATACTTGTTTTGTGTGGGGCAGAGTGTGTGTGGCCGATAAAGATCGAGGCTGCGAGCCAATATGCATATACAAGCAATATTTGGGCTATAGTATCAATAAAAAAAAAGAAATGAATTCCCCGCTTTCCGCTATAAATCGTTAAAGTTTCGGAAGTTCTTGGCACTTCAAAGGCCGCTCGTAACTTGTTCTGAAATTAAATAAAGAAATACAATTTCGCTGGATAATTTCGTCCCACAATAGTATTTTCGTGTACATTCGTTTTGGTGTACAGACTGTAGAGTAGACTGTCGAGTATAATTTCTATACTTTCGTTGTAGCTTCTACTGCTGCGATACAGACTATACATTTTAACCCTGACTCATCAATTGATGCGTTTTTGACGTGAGGAAACGTTTGAACCTTTCTTCAGCCGTGAAACGACGTGGGTGTCGGTTGATGTTTTTGTTGAGGCATAATTAAGATAGATTACAGAAATGACGCCAATGTTGAGCGAGCAATTATGGGTAATATGCCCCTTCTACCACCACTATATGCGAGACTGTAACAAAATCTTAGAATCGGTAGTATGTTGTGGTGATCAATGATCATAGGGAATTTCAGAAAAAGGTTTGATAGTAAAATGTGCTAGAAATTCTTTGCTTTTTTAAATAAGACACTGCATGACATACAATATCATTTTATGTCTGAAATAAATTATAGATTACGATTCATTATGAAATAACAAAATCGAAGCATTATTGAAACAAATAGATACAATTCACATTATCAGTTTCTATATTATGTAAGTTAATGCAAGAAAAGTTGATCGTATGTTTTCTTTTTATAGCATTTTAAAATTAGTATAATCCTGTAATATTTTATGTTACGATAACGCAAATCGATATAGCTGATAGCTGCAACATCGTACTTCATTATTAATTCGTGCTTGTAACCTGGCCAGGTTAAACTTACTGCATCAATATTTGATTGAGTTTGTTGATGGTCTCTTTACTTTAGTATGAGAAATATTCCCCAAATGTGAGATATAGATGATATGTACATTGTTGCGACTTTTCGACCGCGGTCCACGATCGGAAGAAATGCTATAGCCAATATTTTTCAAACTAATCCATATAGAGTTAAGCCCTTTGAATACACGAAACTAGCTTGTCTCAACTGATAAATCGCTTTTTTATCGGAAAGTAAATAATCTAAATGCTGGCTAGACTGAGGGAAGATATATCTGGGATGTTAATATATTATATAACCCGGTATACAGGAAACTGCAATGAAATGCAAAGTTTCGAAAGATATATGAACCAAAGCAGGACGATAGGCAATTTTGCTCAATCACTTTATTGAACGATCTCTTGTATATATTATACGAAAAAAATTGAGTAATGGTATTTTTCATGTGTTTTTTCAGATTTTTAAATTACTAAATTAGCTAACAGAATTCTTGAATGCATTGACATTTTTTGCATTTGGGCCGAAGCAGGGGATCAGAGTAAGAAAAATGGTGAGTATTTTTGTGTAATCTTTTTTGGTATCTTCGCAATATAAGGTTAACGACGCATTCTCTTTCAGTATGGATTTGTGAACTACGCTCTTGAACAACTTGTCATCAGAAACTTTGGCGAAGAAATATGGAACAAAATAAAGTAAGATTTTGATATCATTTAAAAAAAAAGAAGATGTGAATATGAAAAGATAAACCTTCACATAAGATTAATGGTATAGTGACGAATAGCGATGTCCTGTATGTATTGGAATATCAAATTCCGTAAAATAGGTAAACGTGTATGAAATAGTAGTTTTTGGCAGCATTCGACTAAAAATGTTACACATTTTAAGACTTTTGGTGAAATTATGCTATGCGATTCAATATATAACTGCCTTAGCCACTTTATTACGATCTTTCTTTGAAATAGCCAATATTTACGTGGCTATTGAATGTAGACCGACGTAAACACGAAAGGTTTGCTACAATTCAGAACAGTTTGTAAACTCTATTTTTTATATCATTGTAGAGAAGCTGCAGATGTGAAAATGGAAAGGAAATTTATTCAGAGAATGATTTACGAAGATTTTTGTACATTCGACTTGGTTAAAGCTGCAACTGTGGTTTTAAGTGAGAATACATTGCAATTTCACACCATTTTGTAGTAAACCAGCCTAAAATTTATAGTGTATCATCGCAGCGCGTTTATTTTCTATGTGTTAATATAGAACTTATAAATATAGTAAAAATGTTCGTTGACGATGATAAACTGTACAGGTTCACGCTGACGAAAGCTCACAATTGCTTATTTTCTTAATTAAATAAAGTTGAATGAATTCAGTTTTGCTGTTGCTAAAATCGACAGAAAATTGGAACTTCTTGCCTTTTTAACTTGGTCTTATATTTGTGTGAATTTTTAGACGTTGAAGCAAACAAAATATTAGAATTATTCGGGAAGTTCTTCTTTGAGTTTTGCCAGGAGTCTGGATATGATGTAATAATGAGAGTACTCGGCTCCAACGTCAGAGAATTTCTCCAGGTATGTATATTCCGAATGCTTATTCCATACTTTCTACGCACATAGGCCAAAAATGCCGGTAATCAATCATGAAACATTCAACTCAATCACATTTTATTTATAGAATCTCGATGCTCTTCACGATCACTTAAGTTCCGTTTATCCGGGTATGAGAGCTCCTAGTTTTCGATGCTCTGACGGTGATGATGGTTCCCTTATATTGCATTACTATTCCGAGAGAGATGGGCTGGAACACATTGTAATTGGAATAGTAAAAACAGTTGCAAAGGAAATTCATAAAACTGATGTTGATATAATGGTTTGTAGATTTCCTATTTTATATCAATATATTTTCTTCTTTTAGAGCCCTGAACTAAAAATCATCTTCATTGATTCATAATGTATTTATTTAAGAATATATCTACGTATAAGTTTTTAAAACCCGTTTTTTATGTAGATAACAATATAAATAACTAATTATGGAATTAAAATAACAGATAACAGCATAATAAAAATAAGATCCAAAATTAGAAACATTTGTTCCATCCATTTTTGCAGGTATACAAAAGAAAAGATGACGAAACTTCTGATCACGTGCAACTAAAAATTGTTGCGAAGAACGGATCTTCCCTTTCAGGTGGTGACAACGTAGATATAGCTGAAATTGAAGAAATGCTACATCAAATGGATCCAATGATAACTCCAGAAACATTTAGCAAGGTGGATAATTTTTTATTTGAATGTCAATACACAACCATGCTTACTATGAAAACAAGGTTTAGTATAAAACTCATGCATACGTTTAATCCTGTTATCATCATGTTAAAGATTGTAATAATTAATTGGACCTGGATTTGCATTTAAACATCTGACAATTTTTGCGTTTAGGCATTGCCGTTTCACATAATGTTTGATCGTAATATGAACGCAACACAAGCTGGAACTGCCATAGCTAGAATCATTCCTCAACTACGCGAAGTTCTTCCAGGATATCGCAATTTTGATGATGAATCTTCTGACAACGATTCTGACTTAGATGAACAGGATGCCGAGAATGATGTTGAATCCGGGAACGTTAATGAGGACGAAGATGAAGATTTAAAATTATCCAACTTATTTGATCTTGTTCGACCCCCGATACAATTTTCGTTCCACCATATTTTGTCCCAGATTAATCAAGTTTTTGTGTTGCGGACTAAAATAGGTACGAGATAAGATTTCTTTATATATATATATAAAGTTTTCCCAATGCATTTACTCTATAACGTGATGTGCGGTGAACCCTATTTTGAAATACATTTTACATCATATTAATTACGGTATTATACACATCAGTATAAAAGTTGAAGTTTCTAAGCGTACAGTGCTATTCTTGGATTACACGACAACATGTAGCCTAAATGGCAAAATTGTTGTATATATATTATAAATAAATAATTTGTGACTCAAAAGTAGCAAAGCAAGTTTGCAAACTATGTAAACTCGTAACTCGATTTAAAGACATTATTAGTCGCATTTCTGTTCAGATGTCTTACAAACAAAATCCAGGAAAATCTCAGTTATTCCAGAAGATCCAAGTACTGTAGAACCAACTGATCCCGAATCGCATTGTTTACGGTTGAAAGGTCAAATGATCTTCGTCCCAGAAAGTGATAATTTACTTTTTCTTTGTTCCCCAAGGTATAATTTTTGAATTTTATTATGTGATTGGCGTGACAATGCAGTTTTATTGATTTCTAGAGTTAGCTAATATTTATACACTTAGGTGTTATATTCTGCTATTTGAACACAATTTATGCAAAAAGGGCACCAGGAAATACTAAATGTAATCAAATGTACTATCAAAAATCTTTTGGAAAAGATCTGACGATTATCAAGTAAAGAAGAGACTGGGCAGTATTTTATGTCGTATCCTATCAGCGCATAGCATTTATTATCAAGAAATAAATTTGCATTGGCAAATTGTAATTAGTTAACATAACAGTCAAGTTAAACTTCCCAGTCATTTTTCCTAATGTTCTTGAAATCGAAAACTTTTCAGTGTTATGAATTTGGACGATCTGGTGAAAAGAGGTTTATACTTACAAGATATCCCACTACATGACGCAACAAGAGATCTGCTGATGTTGGGTGAACAATTTGAAGAAGAATACAAACTCGCACAAAATTTGGAAATTTTAACGGATAAGTTACAACATACAATGAGAGCAAGAGAAAGGGAAAAGAAAATGACAGACAAGTAAATAGAATAAAAATTTCCAATCATGTCGGTTACACACGCAGCGATGAACTCCTATGTGCAGATCATATTTACTTTCTTAGTCTATGGATGTGTGAATGTATTTTTGTTACAAATTTTTTTTATTTTTAACATGGTGTTCCGGGGTTTGTCCATATCGCGAATATAGAAAACAAACGATGAACTCTTGATGATATGAAAGCGAAAATATATCAATGCATGATAGTCTCAAATCACACTATATATTTTCTTTCATATAACAGACTATTGTATGCCGTTTTACCACCATCTGTTGCAAAGGAGTTGCGACATAAAAAGCCAGTACCACCAATGAGATACGACAAAGTAACATTATTGTTCAGTGGAATCGTTGGATTTAGCAAGGTAAATTGAGTTATTAAGTAATGATAACACTTGGAGTTCTATTTATTGCTATAATTTTTTATTCTTTTCCAGTTTTGTGCAGGTCTCACAAGCTCAGACGGTGCAATGAAGATTGTTACAGTACTCAACACAGTTTACACAAAGTTTGATCAACTCACTGATCCCAAAAATAATCCTGATGTGTACAAGGTGATTAAATTCCTTAAACGTTCAATATGTTTAAGATATTATTTGTGGGTCAGATATTTGATTTTAGGTATCAAAAAAAGTATTTGTTCGTGTATTTTTCGGCCATGTCTACTTTCTCTATATGAGATTATGATTTATCGCGAATAGAATTTTCCGAATTCCAATATTTTTTATCATCAAAAATTGTCTTTTCGTGTACACATTATGTAAAAAAAATTATTTAGATTTTACGCAACTTAACTGAAAGCAGCACAAAAGTAACGTTTCTACCAAAGTTTTGATAATCGCATTTTGTTTTCAACTCATTCCGAATTTAATATTTTACGTTATTTTAAGGTTGAAACTGTCGGTGATAAATATATGGCGGTAAGCGGTTTGCCTGAACCTTGCAAAGACCATGCTCGACAGATTTGCAATGTAGCTCTAGATATGATGGATATGTGCGAGCAAATTGAGATTGATGGTCAGAAGATTCAGGTATGCCGCTTAGGAAAAAATTTATAACTGTTGCTATCGGCAATTTCTGAAGTTAATGATCCAAGAATGATTGAATCGTGAGATCCTAAAGGGTTCTGCTGATAATATAACAAGAATGATTTCATTGACCAGTAATTCAATTGTCGATCGATACCAATTTTCGTACTTCGTCAATTTAAGTACAACGTATTTAAGTTGAAGTGTTTGCAAAAAGATTTTTAAAAAGATAATTTAATATCATTGTGCTGATCTCCATTCACCATGCTAACAAATTTTAAGAATTAGCCAGAATATTCACCTACCAGCTAGGAGGATGATAGAAATCTAACCACAAATCGTTGTTTTTATGTGCTAGCTAGATGGCACATTTCGCAAAAGACATCATGAATTACTATTTATTGCTCATTACCATTAAAATTATTTGCTCTAATTACAAATTTGATTTATTTCATCCATGAAATTGGAATGAAATTTACATCTAATCATTTTTAGATATCTATTGGGATTCACACTGGTGAAGTGGTAACAGGGGTGATTGGACAGAGAACACCCAGATATTGTTTATTTGGCAACACTGTCAACTTAACCTCACGATGTGAAACAACAGGGGAGTCGGGACGAATTAATGTTTCAGAGTTTGCTTACAAGTAAGGTTACCTTCATTCTGATCGCACCACAGCTTATAACTGTACTCCGAAACTTTGTTATAATTGTTTAATTATATTAAATTTCAGCGCTGCAATTGCTCCCGGCTCTTACGATCCAACGTTTCAGTTCGATTTGAGAGGAGAAATAAAAATGAAAGGAAAACCGAAACCAATGAAGATGTACTTTTTAACTCGACGTAATATCGAAGAGACACATCTCTAATAGAAAACAAGTTATAGGAAGGAATGAGTAAATCATGTTGCTGGGGCGCATCACGCAGAAAAAAATAGATTTTTGGTTGAGTAAAGATTCTGTAAATACTCTAAATTTTATGTATAATTCAAATTGTATTAAATGTTTTGAATAATGAAGTAAAAACAACTTGAATTTAAAACTGATTAAGCTCGGGGTTTCAGTTATTATCCCGACCTGAAACATTGATGTATCGTATGTGAATCGGGTAAATAAAACATATATATTACATAAACAGTATTATAATGCTTACAGTATGTTTGATTTTATAATCTTATTGATTGAACCAGTACCCTTTCAAATAATAGTTAAGGCAATTTCTGCATCTTTTCAAGCAGTGTTACACAATCTTTCATATCTATCTTCAAATATTGTTTTTCATTGAATATCTGAACTTGTATTTTTAAAATGTTCCTGTGTTGTATTTTATGTTGAATAAACTTGTAAATAATACAAAACACTGAGCGTGTATACGAGTATCTGATGAATACGCAAATTTTAAACGCAGGTGATTTCTGACAGAAAGTTCACTGTTTTATTTGAAACAAAATGATGATTGAGGCACGAGTGTATCGTTTTAAAAGTGAAGTAGCCTATGGCGAAATTGGCGCCGTCTGGTTAATTATATATTCCAAAATTGTGAATAAGTGAAAAAGTTAAAATGAATTTGTAGTTTTATCAACAGCTTGAATAATATGATTTCTTGAGTTAATATATATTATAAAGTTCATGTTTGTGTCTTGCACTCGCTCTGACCATTCAAGCCGGTCTTTCGTGAATAATATACCGGAAAGTGTTTCCTAATAATTTGTTATCAATTTCACTTGCCGAAGCATTTCTGCGTGATGACATTGTGAAATTGTGAGAGGTGGCCGTCTTGCCTTTGTTTAGGGGAAGATGGGACATGGGGCACAGTGGGAAATCAGCTCTCCCACCCATACTATATTTGGAATCCGGTCACCGGTTCGCTGTTTTAATCTGCCCTTTGGTGAGTTACAACGTCCCCACAAACGGACAACGGCCATGAAGAGCGACGGAAGCTATGAGGTTAAATTGTTTTTGTGAGGTTGAAACTAAGATTTCACATTCCATTTTTTTCATTTTTCTACTTTAGCCTTTCCAACATGACGAACCACCGTCTGATATTTCTCACCTTCAGTCCACTGTAAAATATTCATAACGTCGGTGAGTGGATGCGCCTTCCCTAATCTCGCCATGAGATAGTCTAAAAATATTTGTTTCCTATGGGGAACAATGTACCGGGGTTCAGTGTAAAAACCACTGGGCACAATTCGACAGTGTTTGATTCATTAAGTGCTTATAGGCTTATGTTTTGTGAAATATTGGGGTTTCTTTTGGCCCATGGCCCAATATGGAATATATATATATTCGAGAATCAAAAATATTTTCAGATTCAGATTCGAAAAAGGAATTAATTAAATTTGTTCAGGTAATTTTTTGGTAAAATGCCTGAAATATTTCGGTTGAACATTGATTTCTGAAGTCCCCCCGTTTTTTTTTAGATGATAATGCTGATTCTCTGCTTATTTTTAAGGGCATACTTCGTTGAATTTAACAGAATGCGCCATTGTACCCCAGCGTCTGTCCGAATGTGCCCCACAAGTGACACTTGACAAACGTTTTTCAAAGCATTTTGGTGGTAAGATGTGTGTCGCAAGAAAATTTCTTAGTCGCTGAATAAAAACTACATTTACCCCTCTCTGCATTAGTCCTGCAATGTGAAATGAATATGCAGAATAAAGTGCCTAAATAATTCAAAAGAAAAAAAAAGTGTCCCAACCTTCCCCTACTATCATGTACTACACCAGATGCAAATTTTGGATGCATTAAAAGTGGAAAATTTTGAAGAATGCCAAGAAAATATCGAAGAGTATTAAATAGAGGCTCGTGGGCAGAATCTCAAATGAGAATGTCAGTGCGAGCTATTCAAAACAAGGAAAGGGTAAAGAATGCAGCACGTAACCTACTTACAGTGTTCCGAGAACAACCCTACGAAGGCATGTGTTTCGATCTGTTAAAAAGGCAATGGCAACAAAACAATGGCAAAAAAGATTATGAGAAAGAGGTCGAGGCATTTACGGTCGAGGCAGAGGTTCAGTGCCAGAAATCCTAATGGCTTCATAATATTTACCCCGGTGTTTATGGAAGAAGCATTATATCATTCACTGTGATGGCTGCACTGCTTGTAGCTACTTCTATCTATTCTTTACGCAATTCAACGAGTTTTTTTGTTGTTATGATTGAGATTTGTGTAATAGTGCGAGCAAATAAAATTTTACTCCATTAAAATAAGTGTTTTGTGATACTTTTATGGGCTATGCTATGGTTGTCAACTGCCAAAATCCACAGGGTAAATTTTTTAATGGGCCAGGATTCTTTTAAATATATCGTTTATTTTGATCTTCTGAAAAGCAACAGAACACATTTTCCGTATTTCGATAAGATTTTATGAAGTGTCCGTCATATCCGAATTATTTTTTCAGAAAAAAAAATGAAGAGACGGAACGCTGGTCTGATACGGTCTAATACAGTACGAAATATACCCCACACATTTATATGTGCTGAATAAACCTATTGCTGGTCTGATGCACAGTTTCGACATGTGCTCCTCATAAATATATGTACTGAGTAAACTAATTTGATTGGATGAAACTATGATTTCATCAGTCATCATTGTCATACTCACGATAACCTCCGTACCAGCGAGGCTTTGATGGTGCAATAAATGATGACTCATTGGTTCTTACTCACGTGATCATTTTATACAATTGCTTAGTCATGATTCGTTCTTTTCTGTGGATGAGAGGAGGCGCTCGGTACGTTGGAAATTCATATCTTCTTTGATCCTGATTGTCAGAGGCCTGACACTCTATAGACTTTAGGTATTGTACATTTTAGCAACAGTATCAATTATTTTTCAGATTTCAGAATGGGTCGACGTCCAGCTCGTTGGTGAGTAGTGTTCATTTTGGTGGTGTTGGTTTCGTAATGCAGTTTTGCCTATGCCTGTGGTAAAACCTATTTTGCACTTCAACGTGATATCGTTAATTCTCTGATCCAGGGAATATAAATAACTAACATTCACCAATATCGGAATTTTCATATACCTGTAGTCTAGTTCTCGAATTTCACCTGAAACAAAATATTGATTTCATGTGCAAAAACAATTCACAACTTTGCTGGGACAAGAAAGTAAAAAGTTATCTTGAATATACCCTGCAGAAACTGCATTTTTGAAGCCATTCAAAGGTATTGTTGAAGTACAGTAAGATTAAAAAATCACACATATCATAAAATTATGGTGGTCGTTGTGACAAACTTTGCTTTGCTTCCTTTTTTGTGAGATTTTGACAGATCGTTATTGATTATTTCAGCTATCGTTATTGCAAGAACAAGCCTTACCCAAAGTCTCGGTTTTGCCGTGGTGTACCAGATCCAAAAATTAGGATCTTCGATTTAGGAAGAAAGAAGGCGAATGTACAAGATTTTCCATTATGCATTCATATGGTTTCTGATGAATATGAACAGCTGAGTGCTGAAGCCTTAGAAGCTGCTCGAATTTGCGCTAACAAGTAAGATTTACCTTCCTATATTGAAGTCAAATGTCATTGTATATTGACACAAATTATAGATTAAAATTTATTGATCTATGTTTAATAACCCATGTCAGTATGGCACAGTTTTCCGATTGCAAAAAGAACCTATTACAGCAGGCCTGCACAACATGCAGACATGCGGCCTGGGGGTGATTTGGAAACACGCGACTTCTTGGGTCTAACAATCGAAGCCGTCATTGTTATGCAAGCGTGCCGTTAGTCCGCTACTCCGATCATATTCGAAATCATGAGAGTTATGTTTTGCACTAGTTTCAATAAATATCGAACTTTGTGTGAAAATTGTGTGCCCTTCCAATCCCTAAAATTCGTCGCTCGACCCCTCACCCCCCAGTTTGAGAAACCCTAATTTAGATATCTCAGTATTCAGACTGAATCACGCTTAAAACAATATCGATATACGATCTCACACCCATTCGTGCATATTAGCAACCTATTAATAATCTCATTATTTTTTTACTAGCAGTTTATGAAACTGAAGTTTCTTTTTCGATTCAAATTTAGAACTTAAAAAACAATTCCTTCATTTATAAATGGTGCAAAAATTCTCGCACAAAAGATATTGCTATTTAGTGTAAAATTTCAAATAAATTGGAGCAGATTTTGTAGAAACATGTAATTTAACAGTCAAAAAAGTACAACAGAGGAGAATGTATTGGTACCAAACGGATTGTTTGTATAGCCTACAATGGAAATATCCAATATTGGTAGATATGACTGAATAAATTGTCATACATATATTTGGGACGATTTTACAAAACTGAACCCGAGTAAAATATTTTTTTCTGCAGTCAGTTTATACTGCAACACGCAACACCTAATTCTAATAAAAATGAAATATTGAAAATAAAGGGTGGGTTTTCAAGGTAGATGAACACTTAAATACATATTTGCCATCTCATATGCAAAAATCCTGTACCTTGTTTTCACTCAAGGAAATAAGATTCTTCATATTTTAAATCTCCCCAGTAATGAAAGTGTTTCATTAAATTTAACTGTTTCACAATAATATTTTGATTTGTAGTTCATCTTGTGAAAAATGTATGTGGCAAAGTTTACGGCCCGCCGGGCCTTCAGATTTATGCTTGCGGCCCTCGTGGTAATTAGAGTTGTGCAGGCCTGTATTACAGTATTATGCGTCAATTATAACGATGAACACAACTCTCATTTGGTGAGAGAAGGTATGGTGTCGTTACCTCTCGATATTGCTACAAAATTGGCAAACAGGTACTGCACAACTAAAGTAAAGGGAGCGCGCATTCTGTGAACACCGCTATTAATTTCCTCAGAAGAAAACGATCAGTTTCACCAAAGAAAAAAAATTTCACCATGTAATTTGATTTTTCAGCAAATACCTTGTCTGGAACTAATTTTGGTTACATAGCAGACATGAAGCAATCTTATGCAATTCTAATTTTTGTAATAGTTTTTTAATAGGATATATATAATTTTCTTTTATACAAAGTCATTTTAAATTTCATTTTTAAGCTAAGATTTGATGCCTTATTCTATATTTTGGTTGAACTTTTCAGATATATGGTGAAATTCTGTGGCAAAGATGCTTTCCACATGAGAATTCGTGCCCATCCTTTCCATGTTGTCCGAATCAATAAAATGTTGTCGTGTGCCGGAGCTGACAGGTATGTTGGTCCATTGCTTTAAAACAAGGTAGAAAACAATAGACAGTGTATGAATAGGGCTGGGCATTGCGAAACTACAAAAACGAGGCTTTGACATTTTTAGACCAATTTTTCTTCTTTTTTATTGTTAGTGTAAAGGCAGCTTCTGATTTTTTGGCTGATGAGCTGAATTCGAATGTGGAAATTGGTTCGTTCAGCTGTTTATACAGGGATGTCCTAAATGAGTCAAATATTTGATGTAGTAGATTCTTGATGTTAGGAATAATTTAGAATCGTTTCATTTGAAAACGTCACTTTTAGGCTTGGTCATTTACTATCCGATGCCCAAGACAAAATATCCTCCACCTAAATTTTCAACTTTTGTTCTCCAAATCCATTTTCTGTAATTTTCATTGATTTGCACCTGTTTAACATGACCTGATTCAAAATATATTTGACATCCATGTTGAAAAATATCTAAAAATATCTTATGTATAATTTTGGTCATTGCTGCTCGTACTATAATTGTATGTGATTTTATTTTCATACACAGCTGTTTGTCAAGTGTTATTTTATGTATATCATTGGTACAAATGATTTTTATGTTGTATCTTTCTTCACACTCATAAAGGGTGATTGATATTCAGATGATATTTTCCGTTCTTTAGTTCCTTATCGTTTTGAAAAGTACTGGCCCTGCTGTGAATTTCAGCGAGACGATTCAGACTCGTTAGTTTAGACTCACTCACGACACACCATCGGTCAGAAGTGAGATCTTCATTCTGGTTGTCTTGTGTGCGATATTTGTTTTTACATTATGGGATAAAAATTCTTTTTCAGGCTCCAAACAGGTATGCGAGGTGCATTTGGAAAACCACAAGGCCAAGTTGCTCGTGTCAATATTGGTCAGTCAATTATCTCAATTCGCTGCAAGGATAACAACAAGGCCCATACCATCGAAGCTTTGAGACGTGCAAAGTTCAAGTTCCCTGGCAGACAGAAGGTTCGTTTCACACTGGTTAATATTTTTATAGAGTGTTTAAAAAAAGGAAGTAATAGATATTTGAGTACTTCTGTAGTATGTGTACCAGGTTAGGGTTAGGCCACAATTTTATTCCGATTTTCCTTATTTTAGTTCTATTACAAGTTCGGGGACTGTTTGTGTTAGCCAAGTAAATATACCCCCTACCCACAAATTGATGTAAAGTAGTCGAACAAAATTAGTTACCTTCATCTCGGTACACATACTTCTGGAGCGCCGATATTTGTTAGCTACTAGTGGTTTGGCAGCAATGTTGGTACTGATATTCCATAACATTACAAAAAAAGATCAGAAACAATGTCCCGTTTGTTCATGTTATGTTATAACAATAACTGCGAGATTTTTATGTAGGGTCTGATGTCCAAGAGCGTGTGTGTCTTTCTCTAGTTGTTAGTTCTATTTTCCATTCGAATTTTAATAGCAATTAAAATTTTTCGCATATATGCTGCCTGTCATCTGGTGAGTCCTGACTTACTCATGATTCAGCTTGGTGTAAATGCCTGAAACTTTCTTTTCTTGTTGCAGATCCACATATCCAAAAAGTGGGGATTCACTAAATGGGAACGACCAGATTATGAAAGGATGCTGGCTGAAGGCATTTTGATACCTGATGGTGTCACCTGCCAGTATAAGCCCGATAAAGGTCCTTTAGATGCATGGAGGAAAAGGCAATGAGGTCTCTCTTGAAATTTATCATGATTGACTATTAAATCTTTGCCGTGATCTGCGATTTCTTGTATTTATCTTTGAAAATGGTGGGAATAGGCAAAATTTTATAGCAGTAAAACGGATTCATAAAAACGGATATATATATTGGGAAGAGAAAGTCAGGTTATTGTGCAAAGTTATGGGTTTTCTGTGCTTGGGTCACTGGTCATTGTACACAAATTCATCGTGGTCCATTTTGTATCATTAATGTGTGTTGATTCCCTTGCAAGATTACAGGTTGATTATACTGGAGACCAGTTGTGGGATCTTATTTACCTAAATCGCTGTGTGCAACATTTATATATATAATCTAAAATACACAACGTTGATGGTCGTATTTCTGATAACTTAAAAGGGTAGGCCGGCAGTGCAAGACGCACGGCCCAATGTTGGATCATGGAGGGTAACAAAAAAGGGAGGTATACTGGATAGATCATGTTTTACAGTGGCGGCGCGTCAATAGGGCCAATGCCCCGGTTGTTTTTTCGGTATAATAAAAAATATTCGAAAAATACCTCAATATCGGTTGCACAGACTGTCTACGCTAGCCATATTCTCTCGACATGGTTCATTTTTCGCTCGCAAAGCCTTCGCCGAACGTCGACGGGGCGACGCCGATTTTGCCCCGGTTGCTCATTGTATATCGTATTCTCTCTTTTATCTTCCACTCGCCGCGTTTGTTTTCTGTTTCTTTTACTAAATCATCGGGGCTAGCCCCGAAATTATGACGACACAATGCCGACGTTTCTTACAACAACGTGTTGACTTATTCACGCATTCCTTCTCGTTCGTTGGTTGCTTGAAGAGTTGATAGTTTCCTCGCCTTCGTTTTTGTCGCTTGTTTCGCTATTTGAATCAGTTAGAGACCTTTGGTCCATTTGCTTTCGATTTTCCACATTGCTTTTGAGCTCCTCACTTCTTTCCGGCTTCGCATTTCTTAGCCTTAGACCTCATAATGAATAAGGTTGATGCACTACTTCGCACTCCGTTTTCGCAGCTGCCGCTGGAACAAAAATTAGAGGTACAGCGTCTCTTGGGCCTTATCAACCAAAAAATTGTTCACTGGAACAATCCCATGACGGAGGAAAGCGTCGGCGTACATTCTGCGCAGAAACTTGGTATTAAAAACACGAATGGTTGTGTTACAGCGAGGACAAAAATGCACTTTTTTGTTTTTATTGCCTACTTTTTGCTACCGCCCGTGACTCACGTTGGTGTAAATTTGGTTTTAGAGATCTTAAACATCTTTCCGAGCGTGCCAGGAATCATCAATCTTCTATGGAGCATCTGGACAATGCAGTAAAATACCGAACATTCGGAAATGTTAATATTGCACCACAGTTGGATGAAGGACGCGCGGTTTCTATTCGTCGGCACAACCAAAACGTCGAGAAAAACCGCCATGTTCTCGGTCGATTGATAAATGTTTTGAAGTTCATTGGTTGTCACGAGCTGTCCCTCCGTGGGCACGATGATCGGGCTGGCTCTTCTAATAGAGGGTTATTTTTGTATATGGTGGAATACATCGCATCCCTAGATACAGTATTGAGAGATCATCTTAATGCCGCAACTGTTTCGAAAGGGACATCCAAGGATATCCAAAATGATTTGCTCGACTCAATGTATAAAATTTTTTTACAACATTTGGCTCTGGAAATTGAGAATTGCCAGTTCCTTTCGATTCAGTCTGACGAGACAACTGACATCACGTGCGTTTCCCAACTGGCTGTGATTTTTCGGTTTGTGAAAGATGGTAAACCTACCGAGAGATTTCACAGCTTTGTACCAATCGTTGATCGCACGGCTTGCGGGATATCGGCTGTACTGAAAGAAGTGTTACAGCCTTACAACGCGAAGTCAAAATTGATAGCTCAAACTTATGACGGCGCGGCAGTCATGAGTGGGTCGAAACATGGTGTTCAAGTTTATATAAAAGAAGATTTTCCTCATGCGCATTTTTTACATTGTTATGCACACCAATTTAACCTCGTTATTAAAAATATGTGTCCTGATACCCCTCTCGTCCGTATATTTTTTGCAAATGTTTCGGGGTTTTCTTCATTTTTTTCCGTTTCGCCGAAGCGCTCTGACCTCCTTCGCCAGATATGTAGCCGCCGTCTCCCAGCTTGTGCACCAACACGTTGGAACTTCCAATCACGCGTGGTGCAGGGCGTGTCCGAAATTAGGTCTGAGCTCATTGAGTGTTTCAATGGCATTCAGAGCTCTCCGGTTTGGGACGAACGCTCTGTGAGGGAGGCGGCAGGTCTAAAGCGTCTGCTAGAAGATGGTGAGTTTTCATTTTTTCTCGCTTTTTTCTCCACAATATTCTATCACGTGGATGTATTATACGGCGCATTGCAGTCAAGGCTAATGGATGGAGCGTCTGTGCAGTCGTGTATTTCAGACTTCTGCGATGCTGTATCTCGTATCCGGGAAACAATAAAATACGACGACACATGGAGTGCTTCTTTACGCCGCGGGCAAACAACGCAGCGTTTGATTTTGTCTGCAAAGGAATGCTGTGACATTCTGGTGAATCAAATGGGCGATCGTCTGCGCACTGAACACCTTGCCGCGTTCTCTTTGATGAACCCCAAAAATTTTTCAAAATTTGCACGTCAATTTCCCATCCATTTGTTGGCTGCTGTCTCCAAATTTTACCCCATGATAAACGTGGGTAAATTGGAAAATGAATTGCGATGTATATACACCAATCAAACTTTTTTGAACCTCACATCAACTTGCGCGCTCTATGGGTTCCTCATAGATAACACTCTAGTAACTACCTTTGCGGCGTCTGCAAAATTTCTGGACATCATTTTGACGACGCCTATTTCTTCCGCCGACGCAGAGCGAACATTCAGCACGCTGAAGCGTATTAAAACGTATCTCAGAAACACAATGAAGCAAGATAGATTAAATTCCTTGGCTGTTTTATCCATTCACAGAGACGTTATTTCTGGGATGCATGACTTTAATCAGCGCGTTATTGAACATTTTGCTTCCAAGAAACCGCGGCGTATTGCATATATGTTCAAGCAGTAGAAGTCTAGCAGCATATATATCTATGAGTGAGCGACGCATGTCCTTATCTTTGCATTAACTTTTCTTTCTTCATAGTAACGTTTTAAACCTTATTTTAGGTTTTGTCTGCTTTCCCGAAGTTTCTGTTAATATGTCATTGTATTTATCTGGGTAAATATTGCCTTTCCTTTTGAAAGAGGTTTCAAAATAAACTATGTCTATATTTATTAATTCCTTGACTTGGACCGGTTTTAAAGACACTTTCTTATCGTTAAAAATTGTTGCTTTTGCCGATTGGTTGTTACCGATGGAATGGTTTTTATACTCATAAAATGATGGGAGAACTTACAGCGCTCATCCTGTCCCCGTAGATGGGGGTGACTTGGTCCCGCAGTAGCTTGCCCCGGTTGTCAAAATGACCACGCGCCGCCACTGATGTTTTAGAACCATGAAGTTATTAGAAATCTTATAATACAGTAGTGACTTGTGATATCAACACCTGTTTGATTAATTTGAAATAAAATGATGTTTTTGAAGCGTTCAATCTGTCGGCACACGCCGGAACTTGAAAACCCTTCTCAAAATAAGCATTGAAAATATTATAATGATAAGGTATGTTCCCTAAACTTTGACCCCAGAAAATTTCTCTTTATACTTTACTTTTGCGAAAAAATTTTTACGCCTATTTTGAGAGTGTTATCTCTCATTGACTGGTTTATATGTTTGAAACCAAAATTTGTATGAGAATCATCCGTTTAGAAATACTGATAGCTAATTTTAGCCTGGTCTGTATCTATCGCATAGTCTGCAAGCCTTATTTATGACAACTGAAACCAAAGATCCCCCGGGGAACTACGAAAACGAGGCAACAACCTTACTTGAATATATATATCTGTCTGATTGACAGAAGTGTCTAATTCTGAGCGACCGCAGAAATGGGAACCTTTCCATCCGCGACCCGCTGCCATATCTGTCTTTACCTTCCTGTCGTCGATCCACTGCCATACGACCCTCAACCTTCCTATTCTCGACCCACTGTCCCATCCGCGACCTGCTGCCCTATCTCCCCACTTTCAATTTTCGACCCACTGTCCGTCCTATCTTTTTCAACCTTCTTATCCTCGGCCCACCGCCTTCTCCAATCTTCCTGTTCTCGGCTCGCTATCTTATCTACCCCAACCTCCCTGTTCTCGACTCCGCTGTCCTATCTCCCTCAACCCTTCTATTTCCGACCCACTGTCATATCTCTCTCAACCTCCTCATCCTCGACCCAGTGCCTACGTGCCCCAAACTTCCTGCTCTTGAATCTCTTTCCTACTACCCCCGACCTTTCCATCCTCGGCCCTCTGTCCTATCTCCCTCGACCTTCATGACCCACCGCCTTATTTTTCTCAAACTTCCTATCCCCGAGCCACTACCCTAGCTCCCTCAACTTACCTATCCTCGACCCTCCGCCCTACAACACCCCGTACCTAAGCACTAACCGTGCTTTGACCACGCTCCGATCGTCACACCCAACCTCGTATGCTCGCGATTATGCAAAATCTCGGGTTTTATACGACTCTAGTATACCAATGAGATGATCGAAGCGTACGTCGACGAAACAAGCCTAAAGGTTGACGGCAATCGTGACATATTATTATGAGTACATTTAAATAATAAACAAACGTTTAGCTTCAGTGAGTGTAAATGATGACAAAACTGTTTGAAATCTTCGAAAGGCACTCATTTACATCACTTGCCAGGCCATTTAAATGTAGGCTGTAATCCTACTATCGCATCTGAACTAAAGCCCCCCGGAAGACACGAGGACAATTAAGTTATTTGATTTTGTAAACAAAACTGAAGAATGACAAATAACACGCAAATCCACGAAAACAGTGCAATGTTTACACTCATGCTTGTTGATGCACCTGAAACAAATAACTGGCTAAGTAGTTCCATACCTAGGATTACCACACGTCCCGCTTTTCAGCGTTTTGACCCGCTGATTCCCATTGATGGCAGACGTATCGCATGTAAAACCAATACTAATTAGTCTAGATTATTTGCACTGGTATCGTTAACGTCAATTCCTTCCTATTTTTCGAACTGAACCCGATATTTTGACAGAGAATATGCGCATGAAATTCCGATAACAATATGGTCAATAAAGACAGCCGAGACAGCTTCAAATGTAGGAATGTAGGCCTATGTAGTAAAATTGGAAAATGTGAAGTTATAAAATCACAGCTAAGGGGTCGTTGTCTTTCGAGGCGTCCCGATTTGAAGTCACAAAAATATGGTAACCCTATTCATACCCGACATGGACTGGCAACCGGACGAAAGGGCGCGGTTCGCCATATGATTAAGCCGTCTTACCATATCCCCTTTTCTCCGGGATAATCTGTCTGAGTCAGGGGATCTGAAACTGGGGTCCGCGGACCTACGAGAATCCGAAAAGGACCAGTAAAGATTTTATGAGTGAACCGAAATTCATCGCAATACCCAGTACGAGATGAGCACAAATTAAAAACTTTCAGGAGAATAATTGTTGTTTTTGCTTGTGGATAATTGGTTTAATCTTTTACCCATTCAATTTGGGATCTAACATAACAGTTCTAGCAATTCGCCACTCATTTCTTGGCGTCACAAATGTTCTTCGAACAATTCCTGGGCATGCTGGAAATCAAAACTAAAAGTAGGATGTGAATGATGACACAAGGGACACGCTTAGATCAATAAAATATATTTGTGAGGTCCGAGGTAGAAAAAATTCGAAAACTACAGGTCTAAGCTAAAGAAGTATGTGAGTGGCTGCACAAAGTGCAATTTTTACGTCATTCTCGACTTATTGCTGATTGGTCATTGTTTCGAGAATAAACGAAGAAATTGAAGGTCGAAGAAACATTCTTGTCTCTGATAGGTAGGCTTACCATTACCATACGTCCCGCTTTTTAGCATATTGGCCCGCCGTCCCGACAAGTCAGCCAAAAGTCCCGCTTTGGCGTTCAGCCATCCAGTATAATACACGAACATGTTCTCGTTACTGTTATTGCTGTGTAGCGCAACGCTAGCCTACTTACTAAAGGTGAATGCGTTATTTTGTTTGTTTCGTTGTTTCCCGCTAACATTGTTAGCAAACGTATCACATGTAAAATCAATTCTTATTGGTCCTGTTCGGATGTGCACGTGAATGTGACATTGAACAACGTCTTTTTGAGATTTTTCTGTTTTATCTACAGAAAAGCATGCATGGACGATAAAGTAAAGTCCCAATGCTTGAAAACAGCAGACTATTTCATTATTCTTTATTCTTTTTGCTGTACATAAAAAATCTAAATCCGGATCATCTGTATTCTATTTTTCGAACTGAACCCGAAATTTAGACAGAGAATATGCGCATGAACTCTCGATGACAATATGGTCAATAAAGACAGCCGGGATGACTTTAAATGTAGGCCTATGTAGTAAAATCGGAAACTGTAAAGTTACAGGATCACAGCTAGGGGGTCGTGTCTTGTCTTTGGAGGCGTCCCGCTTTGAAGTAAAAAAAAGATGGTAACCCTACTGATAGGTATATTTTCAAACGTTGGTTCAGTAGTAAAATTGCGCGTTCTTGTGTTCACGTTCACGTATAATACACCATCCTCATCAGAAAAATCTTATATTATCCCAAAAGCTGACACTAAATTCTCCCAAAAATGAAACAAGTTCACTGGTCCAAAAATTTGGAATCAAATTCCTGGATCAATTAGATTGGCATGCAATTTAAAAAAAAATTACCTAAATGTTCTTGTTAAGGATTACTACCATGTAACAATGACGCTCATTGCATGTAGTGATAATATTCAATAATGATAAAAACAAGTAATTACCCATCATATAATTGTCACATAGCAACTGTTTGCTTACAATCTTTCATTTTTTTGAATAATGTTCTACTACTCATTATTATTTTTCTTGTATCTCTTACTTTTATATTATTATTTGTATTGAGACGTAATAGTATGTATTTACGATTAACCCTTTCCGTGCGGTGGGCACGTATACGTACCCACGACAAAACTCGCTAGATTGCGGCGGGTACGTTGATGTACTCCACTGTTTTATTTAGCAATCGGTCGCAAACTGTTGGTCTAGTTTTTCCGGGTTTTAGTTTATTGATAAAAAGTCTTCTTCGAGATTAACATAAGCGACGATAAATCTCGCTTTCGTTTACCATGGGAGTTTTATTTGCGGAGGAACGATGGAGTGTTTTTGAAATTTATGCAAATTTCGGTGTTTTTTGGGTAGTGATAGAAGACAAATTATCCCTTCCATCTACCAAAGTATTTTGAGTTAGATAACGAAATTGCTACAGCAATATTATGCATTGTTTGCCAACCAAGAAGCGGTAACAGTAAAGGATTTAGCAAATATTTCTATTTTTTATCACGGTTTGAAGTTTCAACACCCAAGAAAAAAAAATGCTTTTTTTCTATCCGGTTTGTGACTCAGACCACCCCTTTTAAAAAAAAAAATTTTTTTAATCGCCAATTGCAAGCTCTTTAAATAAGCTTTCCAACAAGCCGTCAGTGGGCAGCAGAGGATCATTACTTTTTCGTTAGTCGATCGATTAGTTATGGGGGTACAAATGCATAAAGTCGGCGTAGCAAATACGATTATTTAATAAAAAATAAAAATCGCATGGAAAGGGTTAAGAGCATATTTTGTTTAAATATATTTGGTAGCTAACTAGTCGGCGGTTATTTTTTTTATTTCCTTCTCAATAAATATTTGGCTGGAATGTGTGGTAGCTGACTTTGGTCGTATCGCCATCTTCTAGTCTATACCATAATAACTGCTGTGTAATTTATTATTTTAATATTTATTTGTATTTTGGTTGACAAAGTAATAAACTTTTTCCTTCTCAAAGCATCACAGTTATTTGAAACCCGCTAGCTGGCGCTTCAGTCTTCCAGTTGGAATGATTTATCATCATAATGTTTCCCTCGGCATCAGTCTTGTTCGTCTGTTCGTGGCGCCGGTAGTTGTGCCGTTGATATCCGTATGATGCTGTTCAAATTAAAGTACCGATACTTGGTTCAAATGTATTGTGACAGTTTAATTTCATACTGCAATGAGTTCCGGTACGGTACCGTAGTTATCGAATGTAACACCACCGTGTTCTGAGGTTGCCGAGTTCGTTCTTTATTATTGGCTTACAGTATTCAGGTATTGCTGTATAGTCTGATTGCAGGATTGTGAGTCCTTAATACTCTGATACGCAAACAGGGTGATAGATTTATTTACCGCTAGTTCTTGTTTTTTTAGGTAACGTCATGGTAACAATTGCCTAGCATTTAAATTTTTATGTGGCAATAAAAAAAATATTAAATTTCTCAACTGCTATTTGACCTGCCTGCCAGTAAAGCCATCACCAAGTATTTGGCTATCATGGTTATCCTTATCAGTTTAATTTTCATTTTAACCATCTTCAACCAATATTAACACCAATAATTGGATATATCAGTATATACAGATATACGGAAGAACAGAACCTTCCAATTACAGTGGAGTTATTTATTAATCTATTAATTAATCTTGTCAATATCCTGATATCAGTATTTCTTTATGTGCCAGTGAAGTCTGACACAAACTCAAACAAAAATTTATCTTACCACATTTTTGCAAGATTTTAAAAGTGATTTGCAGCCTCAGACAAAAAAGGGCCATGCATGCATCTGAAACAAATAATAACTGGTTAACCGTGTCTAAATCCTGAACTGGTAATCGAACATGAGGTTAATATATTCTAAATTGGTAAACTGTGGCAATGGTGCTTGTAGTCTGTATACAGACAGCACTATCTGACTTTTTACAAGGATTGCTATAGAGTTTGCTGGCTTAAACCATTATATTTTTTAATGTAAGTCAATGGCAAAAGCACTAACTTGCACTTTAAAACAATCAATGCAATTCCACAAGCTTAAGAAAATTGGCATTTCGACCTTAACTTATTAAAATTATAGCATTTTATTGGACATGTGTTGGTGGTGCTATATCTTATTTTATCTCTAGGTTAGGATGGGATTAAATCTTGCTACTAGACTCAGTGGTTCTCAACCTTTTTCCTTCCGTGGCCCATTTTTGTTACACAAAATCATCGTGGTCCACTAACTTTTATTGCAAGACAAAAACGAAAATGAACACTTCTCCTTCAATAAATAGAATGTAAATTACCAGTCAGCAGCAGAAAACAGCATCATCAATCATTGGTACTATAATCAAAATTAAGGATAGTCATACAAATAAAACTAGCAATTTTTATTAGTTCTGTGGCCCAGCTCAAAATCTTTCCATGGCCCACTGGTGGAGAACAAGTGTACTAGAGTCTGAAGTAGTCGCATATTTTCAACTTGTTTTGTCATCAGATATCAAAGATTGATAGTTAAAAATTGCTAATCAATTTATCATGGCATTGAATGCCGAATTGCGTATTAATCTGGCATCGTTGAAACGTCAAGATCCATATATAGGAAATATCACGGATTCATCTACTCATGTTGCTGTCTACTCATTCAGTCCCCAGTCTAACGAATGGGTAAGAAAAGTGTGAACTAGTATCATATTCAGATAGTGAAAAATGTCGACTGCGTTTGTCTTATATAAATATTATGAAAGGACATACAAGCAAAATGGATATTGAAAAATTGAATTAGAATTGATGTTGACTGTTTTAATTACAATTTCAAATTGATTGTGTGTATCATATGTATATCACCTTTAATTGTAAAATTTTTAGGATGCATGTAGTTTGTTGATTTAATTTGGGTCAAGTGTAATTTTTTAGATCACATACGGCAATGGTGATTGTTTATCCTTGAAATTTAAATTATACATTCATTTTCTATAGGAAAAGACTGATGTTGAAGGAACAATGTTTGTGTACAAAAGGTATATTAATATTTTTGATGCTCTTAAATTACTACTGTGTATTATAAGTAGAATATCCAAATACTATGGAGTTGTATTTGTCAACCTCTTCAAACTTTTGCCTGCTTGGGGGTCAAATATACTTTGAGCGTAACACTCTCAAATTATTTTTGGTCAATTATACGAGACAGTAGATTATTTATATTTTGCTTTAAATTGTTGAGGGGTTTGCATTGTTTCGCATACACTGGAATAACCGTATAAATTATTCATAACTCTTCATATGTATATGTTATAAGTTACACACAACTATTGATTTATTTGATAATATATACCGGTATGTACATTGATCATGAATAAAAGTTTTGGAATTATTAAAGCAATATTTTTAAGCTCATTATCTTTCAAACAATTAAGATTTATGTCAATTGTACAATGACACGTTTTATTGCTATACTTTTCATGATACCTTGTCGTGAACATATCGTTTGTAAACATACATTTATTAAAAAAATTTGATTTTGCAAAATATTAAACTTTCCAGAGTTGCTCCACCATATTGGGGTTTCACAATTTTAAATCGATTGAGCATGGAAAATCTCACAGAACCACTGACTTCTGAGTTAGAGTTTCAGACACAAAATCCTTTCTTACTATACAGAAATGCAAAATGTAAGTACAATTACATTTTGTTGATAACACTGACATTATTAGGAACCGAATAATTGAGTCTGTTTGTACCTTACATTGGCTTAATTATTATGTAAATATTTATGTTAAAACAGGTGTATGCTATTTTATTGTCTATTCCAAAATGTAATGCTTTACATCAGTAAATATGAAGGAGGATAAATAATAGAATCAACGCATAACATATCAAATTACCGGATTCTCTATTTTTATTTCAAACTACTATTCTGTTTTGGTTGTCTAAAATTTTCATGAGAATTAGCCTCTTCATTGTTTAGCCAATACTATTTTTTTCAGTGCTTATTTATGGAATATGGTTCTATGATCAAGATGACTGCAAAAGAATAGGAGAGCTTTTGGCAAAGTAGGAAAATATATATATATATACCATTTTTATTCATATTGAAATCACCAATAATAATTTCTTCTGATAAAAATGATGTTCTCTTGATTTTTTTTCATAATATTTATTGATAGCAAAAGTAAGCTATTCACTTGATTATTATGATGCATTGTAATGTTCGATGCTTTGTTATCACTATTTGTAGCAGGCTATGTTTTTTGATGACATCTAAAATTTAGCGAGTTACTATTTATGCTTTGAAAGTTTGGAATCCACCTGGTTCAGAAGTGTTTATTTTCTTCGGATCCTGGGTTAGATCATAGGTGGGACACAAAGTATATAATTATACATCATTTTTAGATTATGTAGAGAATCGAGCCATCCTCTGGCAAACGACACAAAAGCACAAAAAATAAACATCTTTGGTAAATTGGATAACAGCATCTTAGGCAACAAGGAATCGGTCCCAAAATCAAATTCCCCAACATCCAACTCTGTGAACAGCATATCACCGGGTAGTTCAGTAGGTGGAGGTCAGAGACCACCAAGCAATAATGAGGAAGCAGATTCTGAGAGTGAAGACAAAGAAGTACAACAGAGTACTAATAAAGGATCGATTAATATAATGGATTTATTATATAAAGCTCAAGATAAATATGAAAAGGTATGTGATACTGTCAATTTGAATTCAGATTAGTAGAAATATTTATGGTAATATATTAGGTAAAGGTATGTTTGTTAACCTCATATCCATTTCATCACCTCTAGAGCAGTATTGGCGTTGTCATCATTATATTTTTCAATCTGTAGGTCAGCTCGTGGACCATCCATCTAACTTTTTATACATTAAATCGTTGAATTTCCTATTAATATTATTCCTGTTCCTTACAACAAACAAACGAATCAATCGAAGGTATTACTACCGTATTTTTTGGGCATTATAGTATTGAAAGCCACCATATTCGTTATACTGTTACTACACAGAAAATTTTTTTTCAGATATACCGGTAGGTAGTTTTGTATTGTAAATTGTAATATTTACAATTACAATATGTTGTTTGTCTTTGACAGGAGAAGAGAAACACACCAGATCCAGTAATTGATGGAGCGCAGAATGGAATGTTAATCAGTCCAACAGATGCTGAAATGCAGCTTGTCAAACCAGTGCCAATCAAACCAACTCATCCACAAAAGGTAAATCAAGATATGGATTTTCAATCAGAATGTAAACGCAGGAATTATATTATTTCAATAGTATTACGTTTTCAGTTTTAACAACATTAATAAATCCATAATGATACATAGCTATGCTTGTATAGTTTAAATTCATCATTACCTTTACCACCATGTATACTGGTACTTATATTGTATATTACTGTTGAGTCACAAAAAAAATTTCCATGAATGGAATATTATGGTCAAACACTTACTATTGTTCGATTTCCTTTTTGCTCTTACGACTTACTTCCTGATGATAAATTGAGACTTAGAGTACAAGTAGATAAGGATATGCTTGCTGTGCATGACAAGCGCTGGCATCTATTTCATTTGTGTCTAATCATAGACTACTGTTATGAGTAATGGAGAAAGCAGATTATAGATGAAGTAATTTAGGATAGTAGAAAAAGTTCTATTTAAATGAGTACGGTAATTGAATATCGAACAGAACTGGCATAAGGTTTTTCTTTAAACAATAAATTGGTTGAAAATGAATATATGAGAAAATCATTCAGCCCCACTATCAGTATTATCACATTGATATAATTTAATCATAAAAAAGCGAACATTTATTATTACTCTGGTGGTTGTTAAATGTTGCCTTCTTTTTATTTTCTAGCTCGATGTTGCATCCTTGTTTAAGCAGCAACCACATAAACCATCATCTGATCCTTCTATTGTGAACAACAATCTACCTATTACTGTGGCTCCTGCTATGCTTCCAACTCCAACTATGAATGCACCCTTTGTTGGTATTTTGCAGCAACAAATGGTGAGTAAGAAGAAGAGTGAGGTATAGAAATATTCAACATTTTGGTATTAACAAAGTATTATAGTACATTAGACTGGATTAGTTGCACTTTATGTGTGAATGAATACTTATTATTTGAATGTTGTTATTTTCGAGGGCAAATGCAGGTTGGTGGAAAAATTTCACTGCAACTGACAATTGCATTCATTCGAATGATCTTTCACCTTTGACAGTATTTAAATCAATAAAACTATCGTTCTACATTAATCAATTGTTTCAGTAGTAATTTATTTATACTTTTCCACATTGATAAATAATGTTCTAGTAAGTGATTTAAATACTCAAGTTACAACTTTCGATGTTGTTTTCTCACAAATAATTGTCTTTAATACCCAGGTTGCAATACCCACACCAAGTGCCAGTGTTAATATTCCAAATCAGCCACAAAGAAGACAGCCTCGACCTATAGGAAGATCTTATTCCCTGAACGAAATGGCAATGCGACAACATTTTGATGCTTATGTGAATGGTAATGTTATGTCAGTTGAGGAAGTAGAAGCAAGCATGAATCGAGGTTCTACAGCAAACCGACAACAGGAGGTCAATTCTACTCTGGACAGAATGATCGATATGATTAATTCTGGAGGCGGAGTTTCTGGCAATGTGGCAACAGGAGTTGCACAAACCCCACAACTACCAGGAATACAAGAAACTGTTTTAAATACACTGCCTGCAGCACCGAAAACATCGTCTGGCAATAGTGGAAGTATTGTTGTAAATGGTAACCATGCAGTTTTCCATGGTGATGGTGAAGTTTTTGGAAAACCTTCCAGTCTTACTTATACAGGAAGCTTGATCCATGCTGCCCAACCAGCATATGGGCAATCGTCTGGCACACCGCGACAAAGGAGTATCTCTACATCGGGTGTGCATGTTTCTCGACCTAATTTTATGGGTGTCAGCAGTGCACCACCAGTTGCTGTGAAAACGCCATTCACTCCTAATTTTCCTTTATTACCGAATTCGTTGACTTCGCCAGTTCAAAGCATTGCCAACTCTGCTTCTGTTCCCCTCAATCCTCAGGTTACCAAGCCTACAGTCTTTCCCACAATGCCACAAAGTACTGATTCAAGTTTATTGCTGCATGGCAATGCGGTTATTTCTGAAAAATCATCATACAATATTCCGAATTCACTAGGTAAGAATTTATCATTTATCCAATTTGGAAAATTTTCGAGGTAATTATTGATTGTTATTTTCAGTGTCTGCCATAACAACATCAGTATCTGCAATCAGCGTCCAGGATCAGGCTAATAAGGTAAAGGGAGTTAAAAATAATGTATTATTTCTATATAATATTTTTAATATAACATCTCTGATCTGAAATCTCTCGCAATAATCTTACATTTAACAGGTTGTAATGTAACTATAGTATGTCTTTAATATGCTCAGCCAGTGCTAATTTTAAAATATCCTAAGCTATAAGAACATATCTTTACAGACTTTTTCAATAAAATTTGATGTGTCATATAATTACATTGCCTATTTACTCTGTTATTTTTTACATTATAGCTACATAATTGTGAACGTGTTTTATTTTGAAACACGATGTTTTTAGTTTTTACTGATAACATCTTATTTTTAATGCAGAAAATTCCATTTTTCCAGGTTCCTCTTAATACCACAATCATGCCTCGTACAAGTAAAAGTTCTCCAGCAGTTGCAGCAACCCTTATCTCACCAGAAGATTTTGAACGTTCATCGACAACACCGCAAAAGAAACTTGAATTAAAGCAGAGAATGTTGCAAGAAGTAAAGCAGCCAATTCCACAACCGAATTTGGCAACAGTTCCACTCACAAAACAACAGCTTCAACAAACAATGGTGTCCCTTCTGCAGGTACGTTACTGCCATTCTATACTGCTTTAATCTATAGTACTGCTCCTGATTATAAATCAACCTATTCGATATAGAGCTTATTTTGAGAGCCATAGCTCCTAAAAGATTCTAAGGTAATTTCAATTAATTCTGGATTGTCAACTGCTGCTTTGCACTATATGCAATAGGTGTTTCATGTTCGATACGATTCCAACTCTAGTTGAATACACATATTTTAATAACTCAGATCCTACTCGGAGTCTGTCATTTTTACAGAGTCCTTAATCTAGTCTGTTTTACCTGTTGATGCTTATGTTAAGGTACATTAAAGTCGAAAGGTGTTGTTTATGTTTCGAATATGACGTAATGGACTCTGAAAATATGATTCTAGTCCATACTTGGTCCAGTACAAATTCCAGACTTACCCTATCCCTAGTAACGATTATCAAGTTTGTTGACTAGTCTTTGCTTCAGTAGTTTGTCCAAATAGTCTTGCTATAATTATTAATCTTTTTTCATTCTGCAGAAAGACAGTTCTTTTCTTGCTGCAATTCATGAGGCGTACCTGGCCAACTTCCAACAGACATAGTCTGACATCAGTGCGAGAGTCACATGTTCTATGCAAGATTTCAGCAGTCTGTTTTAAACTAGATCTATTTTTAGGCAACTGGAATCTCAGCGTGTATATTCCGATGTAAAACTAGAAAAAAATAAATAATTTGGCTAATTATGTATACATTATGTCTTTAAAACACTATTGTGCCAGTATTAGAGTTGCAGTCTCACTTTGTGTTTTATTGCTTGAACATTTGAATATGTGATCCTGATGATGCAAATCAAAATTACTGTTGGGATGACTGAATGGTGACTACCGTGATTTCGGAGATGGTTATCAAAATGTATTGTTTCTGCTCCCAAAAATGAGGTGTATGGTCTTTTTTACTTTTTGGTAAAAGTTCTTCTCCAAAGTTTCCAAATGTTTTGGTATTGTACAAACTAGTTCAACTCTTCAACACGAAAATTTGTGTGTTTGTCATTCATGTCGCATCAACTGATTTTTCTTTAATATGCTTGTTGCAAATTTTCAATCCTTCATTTAGTAGCATCTTTTATCTTGGACTTATTATTTTCATTCATACCATTGAATTTTGTCAAATTGAGCTACAGGTTTTTTGCAATTGTGGAGGTAAATGAGACATGCTCCATGACTGCTGTGTTTTCCTTCAAACTATGATCGAGTGATTCGATAATATCTTCATTATTGTCTGTGTACCAGGGGAATAGAATTTTTTCTATGAACATTAGTTTTGGAGTTTGTGGTACAGTTAGTTTTGTGTCATGTTGATATTTTTTGCACTTTGATTTTTAATGTTGATTCTGTATGACCTGCCATTAACCACTTTTGTTATACTGCCTGTTTGTTGTATTTTACGGCCTACCACAAGCTCAAAATCGAATCCTACAAATGTCTAAATTTGTTGGCAGTGGGCTTGAATATTTGATCCTGTAGCTCTCATTGAGTTATTTCAATTACTGTCAAATTAATCTGTTATGGTTGTAAAGTAGTTTTGAAACTGTGGAAAACAATCTATTAAATTTGGTAATAACATCTAACTAGACTTCGTCTGATACATTTTTTGAATCGAAAGTTGGGGTTTACTTCATTCTACCTATTCAAGATTTTTCCAGATTGTAGGAGGGAAGCTTTCGTCGGCTGACCATTTGCCTGGAGTTCATAGCACAGCTCCCATAACAACATACTGCTTTTGTGATCACTCCGATTCAAATCGGTTTGCAATGCCAGCAATTTTGGGAGGCAGATTATGCTATATGTATCAGGGCGTCAACAGGAGAATTTTTTCACAGAGATAAATTTTACACACTTCCAAGTAGACTGGACAAGGATATGCTGCATGCTTGTGCGTGAATTCGAGCAGATAAATTGTCAAGATGTAGATTTCAAGGCAATCCTAAAGCTGGCTATGTGGAGTTTTGTAAGTGATTCAAGAAGAAAATATTACTCCGACAGTTCAATATTTACTATCGCGTTTGATGTTGTGAAAGGAGTGTTAGCTAAAAGGTCTAAATATATCAACAAAAAGGTATATATATACAGGGTGCTCTATGAACATGTGAGCGTATAAACAACGAAAATCAGATGGGGCTCCGACTTCAGGAATATGGACGCTACTGCACCATCAATGCCGATTTTTTTTTACCGCATACGGCAAGAAATTCATTAAATCAGAATGTTAATTATTCTGTCTCTATTAAAGGATTGAAAAGTATGTTCAGGTATATAGTCATCAAACGTATAGTATTAAAAAACCCGCCGTTGTAATGGTGAATTTGAAACTCGCGCAAAATGTTCGCCAGAACCGCGTTGCGAGTGAGAAAAGACGCACCGAGTTTATTTAATGCATTCTGAACTCCGCCATAGCACAAACGCGTGACACAGTACGGCACACACGGGATGGAAATTCAAGAAGTTGCTAAAGCTTCAAATGAAGTTTACCTTCTTTTGTAATCAGTTTTGAGCGCGTTCAACTTTCACTTATTTGTGTGGCCACAACACAGGCTATCATTCACAAAATCCTTCTATAAGAAGGACAGAACGATTCTTTAACGTTGCTGGCCTTGTATTTCTTTCGAGTCGGTTCGGCTCACGAAACAGACACACCGCTCCGTGAGAGTGGGAAATGACCGTCCAGGTCAATCAACCAATATTCGGACATTCCTCAAACGCCCCACGACTCTTTGCGAACCCGGAGGCTTGTACGGTCGTTTAGGCCAACGAGAAGAGCACGACCACACTCCACTCCGAAACCTGAATAAAGTGAAAACGTTAGGGTTAGTTAGCAAGAGCCCCGAGAACGCACCCACCACCAACGAGATCAGGCGGCGATTGAATCTGCGCAACTCACAGCGTGCGAACTGCGAAAGCTTCTTGTTGCGCATCAATGACTTCAGAGTTCAATTCGATGACGATTCCTTTTTCAGTTTCCATTTCTAAACTTGTGATTACCAGAGACAAATGAATCTGTATCTATGCGCACTAGCGCCTATCTAGATTGTCTGAGTTTTTTTTATAATTAGCCTATCCTCATATCTTATTTTTTAACGTTGTTTATAATTGATATCGTATCTAATTAGCTTTACTGGTATTCAGGTATTAATTCAATATTATATTATAAAAATATCAGATCTTTAATTCTCCGTAATGCAGTAATGATAATAGTTCGACGAAACGCCGATTTGCTGATATTGGCAAGACTTGATACTGGGCTTTAACTTACTTAAATTGCGGTATTCTGTTTGCATCGTGTTTCTGTATATGAGAAAATGAAGTGGTGATGTAATGTCAGAATGTGCCAAACCATAACAAAATTGATTTGATGTCTGGTCCTTTGTTTACCATATACCGATAGCAGCTTAGGATAAGTGTAAAATGCTTTAATTCTACAGCAGTATGGTACTTGATGTTTCCATAGCAAGGTCTCAATACTGAACGAGATCTCAATGATACTAATCAGCACATTGAAAGTTCTGAAGTATTAAAAATCTGGCTGTTCTAATACCGGTACTGTAATACTTCAATGTAATTCAATTTCAAGACCTTCATTAAAATCAGTTTTTTTGAACATTCTCTTTAATTTAATTTTTAATTAATTTTTACAGATCAGATGCCAGGTAAAACTATGAAAGTTCAAATATATATTAATCCAGATGCAGAAACCTGATAAATCTGCGTCTAACTCGAAAGGAAAATCCAATTCTACCTCTTTACGTCGACGGACAAATCAACAAAATATGGTACCAAAAGCCCATCTTATAAATGATGGTCCATCAGTTTCATATTGCCGGATAAGTAGTTCAAATGAAGAAATAAAATTAACTGATTTAACGAGCAACAAATACAATAACCAACATTTAATGAAAGCAAAAGATTCAAATATTTATCTAAATGATTTGGATACAGGAGGAGGGACAGGGCGTTCTAATTTTCTAAGGATAATTCTCGTAGTATTTCGGAGTCTGAATCGGAAGACTTCAGCGTTCAAATTTCACACAATAAATTTCAAACAAATAATGGTGGAATTAATCATATTGAATCAGATGATTTAAATGATGATGATTTGTCAAAACTACTCCCTCAATCAGCAAGTAACAGAATTCGTCGTTTTTCGGGCGATCCAAATGAACATAATGAGCATCAAGAAGAAGCATCATGTACAATTGCTTTGCAAATATCTTTTCCTTTTTTAATGGCTGGTATGGGAATGGTGTGCGCTGGCCTCGTTTTAGATAAAGTTCAAGTGAGTAACTTTATTCAAACATGTTTTGTGTATAACAGTTACGATATAGACAAGATAAATATTATTTGCCACAACTTTTTGCAGCATTGGGAAGTCTTTGAGAAAGTGTCTGAAGTTTTCATTCTTGTTCCTGCTCTGCTTGGATTGAAAGGAAACCTTGAAATGACCTTGGCTTCAAGACTTTCAACAGTAGTAAGAACAGTTTTAATTTTGCTTCTTCAAACTTGTGTTTAGAACTTAAATTTAATCGAAAAATAGCGTTTTTATAGAGAATTTGCTCAAAGCAGAGTCAATGAACTCAGTTGTAACTAAAGGAGATTTATCTCTGAGTATGGTTATGGATGGCCATGTATATACTGATAGTTCGAGTTATTCAATTTTATCCTATTTTCATTTTGACATGTTGTCAAGTTCTGTTAGGAATATTTATTGTCAGAAAATTTTGTGTCGAGTAAATTTGTAATATACAGTGCTATTAATGGATTGCTATTAGTACATTCAATTTCAATTGATAAATTATTGTGATTGTCATTATACATATTTTCTTATCAGGCTCATCTTGGACATCTGGATGATCCTAAGAAAAAATGGTCAATAATTGGAGGAAATATGATTTTAGTTGAAGCTCAGGCCAGTGTGGTGGCTTTTCTTGCATCTCTTGTTGCAATGGTATTAGGGTGGATACCTGATGGAAAATGGGAAACAAATCATGCTCTTATTCTTTGTGCAGGAAGTTTACTTACGGGAGCTATTGCTTCTGGAATTTTAGGTATGTTGGTGTTTGTATAATTTCATCTTCTTCTTTATGGTTATTGTTAATTAAGTATGTCATTTTTTCGATATTGCCATTTAAAAAAAAAAGGATGTCTACCTATTTGATTTGACTTATCCAAATTGTACTAGATTAAACTCTGAAAGTTACCCCTTTTCTTCCAAATCTGAAATCCTTATAATTAATAAAATCATAATATAACATTTATAAAATTGATGATATAAAAGCAAGTGGATTCAATAATTCAGTTCATTTTGATTATTAATTTTAATAATATATTGTTGTAGGTGCAATCATGATTCTTGTTATTGTTTTATCACGGAAATGTGGAATAAATCCTGATAATGTGGCAACACCTATTGCTGCTTCATTGGGAGATTTGACAACTTTATCTTTACTATCTGGAATTGCGCAGGTATATTTATTTATAGAAACCTTTCAACCTCTATTATTAAATGGATATGCAGCCCATCCCATTTGTTAAACAATTTTTCAATAGTTGGTATGGATATTTTGGCGTCCGTGTTTCATTGACCTTGTTTAAGTACTTTTAAAAATTCACAGTGAAACCTCTTAGTTGGTTTAATGATAGGGTTTGAAAGCACTTGAGATGAGATATTCCATTCCTGTACTGTCAATAAATTTTAATCATTTTTGTAACAAATGTTAAATTTACAGATTATTTGTTAGATTGGGATTGCTCATATTCTGCTACTATGCATTGTAATTATTGATTTGATACCCAAAATATGCCATAATGAATAATTACACTATTATCATTGTCTAAAGACTGATTTCTAACCTCCTACCTAAACAAAACATGAATTTGTTTATAATAATCTTACCATGGATGGAATAAAGTTACACATACCTGTCTTTTTAAAATTTTGAATTCATTTTTAGGTAATATTTTTCATTACGATACAGAATCAAAACTTAATAACACCAAATTTTATATTCTGAATGAAATAAATTGAATATATATCAATGGAAAGGAGACTTATCTTTATATAGGATTTAATCTATAATTGTATGTTGCTGACGTATTGCTCAGAAATAAAATCACCAATATATTTATTTACACATTGTTTTGTTCAGGCGTTATACGATATCTTGTTGAATCCATCAAAAGTTTGGATAGTGTGGTTGATTATTGCTTTGTTTCTGCTCGTTACTCCAATTTTAGTATTTCTATCATATCGAAACATATATACGAGAGACGTCATACAGAACGGGTGGTTTCCAATTCTTTCTGCTATGGGTATAAGTAGGTACGTACGTGCATTGAAATACATAACAACTTTTGAAGCTTTTGTCCTAATCATATAAATAGCACTGTCAAATCATGTTTGCAGACTTTTGGTATTTATCTTGTAATATAATTAGGCATATTTTTGGCCATCAATTATGCCCTCTAAGGTGTTATTACATTTTCACCTCAAAATTTTTTTGTGGCTGACTTTGAAACCAGCTATTATGTCAGTTCCTGATATTTTGGATAACTTGTTTTGTTTGAGAAGAGGATAACACTGTATTATTCGCATTACAGATTACTTATCCTAAATACATACATTTTTTGGACACTATTTTCCTGCTTCACTAAGTCTTGCTGTGTGTCACTTGCAAGAATATAAAATGGTTTAGTCATGTTAGGGCACTGACTCCTATTATTCACATGAATAAGGATTGTATAATTATTAAAAATTGTGTTATTGGTGTCATTTAAAAATAAAAAATGGCAAGATTGGTTGATTGAACAACTTGAAATTCCAGTAACTAGGTAGGTTCATGTCTGAATGAATTGGTAATTGAGAATCCTGACAAGACAATTTATTGAACTTCTAAATATCAATATAGATTATTTGAATACTTGGAGTAAACTTTTTCTAACAGTATTTATTTTGCCAAGACCATTTTGTTGGAATGGATTTCTTTTGATGATTTCAATTTGAAAGAAAGTCTATGATCTTTTGCCTTTTACAGTGTTGGAGGTTTTATTCTTGATTTTGCTGTTTCCAATAATCCTGGTATTGCTGTATTTGCTCCTGTAATCAATGGAGTTGGTGGTAATTTTGTAGCCGTTCAAGCAAGTAGAATCTCAACTCATTTACACAAATCAGATTATCCATTGGGAACACTACCAACAACCAAATCATCTGATTGTATCACTCCATGCTTTTTATATTGTGGTCAAGGTTTGTTTGAACTCTTTGTAAAATTTACTAGACCTTTGTTCAAATGAGAATTTACTTCATCACAATTTCACATCTCTAGGTAATGCACATGGGAGGAGTGCCAGGGTAATGACAATGATGGCGGTTCCGGGACAACTTGTATTTTTACTGACAATCAGATTTTTGCAAGCTGGTCACACATCAATAACTCCACAATTTGTTATCATGTATCTGGCTGTTTCTGTTATACAGGTAATTGGCCAATTCTTTCAATATTGAAAAAAGAGGCATATGAAGCATCTACATGTTAAAGTGAAACTTTTTATCTTTCATTCTTGGATTGGAATTTGATTTGACTAAGACATTCCGATGGTGTTTATCAAATGAACCATTAGTGCATTCATGCGCTTTGATTGAAATCCATATAAACCATCCTCATATTTGTTGTTAGGATCGATGATGTTTCCTGCCTCATCAAATATTCAATATTAGCCATTTTTAGACCTCCTTTCATGAAATATTGCTTATCTATTAGTGTTTCTCAAGATACTCCTCTTTACAATTTGCTAACACCCCCACCACATTCTGCACAAAACATGAAATGAAAATGAAAGTGCCTGGTTGCACGAAGGAATATAAAAACCTAATACGTGCTAATACACAGTCTTGTGTTGTCATATATAAGTTACAGATCGAAGCGTCAATTTGTACCTCATCAAAGACTTATAAATGCCAAGGATCTCATGTTCTAATATATTTTGTTATTTTCTCAGGTTGTTGTTTTATTGTATGTCTGTCACTGGTTAGTTCATCGTTTATGGAGAAATAAAGAAGATCCAGATAATTGTGCAATTCCTTATCTAACAGCACTCGGTGATTTGCTTGGAACTGGTTTACTTTCTCTAGGATTCCTTATTTTATGGACAATTGGAGACAGGGATTTAGATGTTGGCGATTAGGGTAAAATTTTAAGCCATATTGCCTTTGCCAAAAGGCTTTCTCGCAATATTTTTAAACAGCAAAATTATATATTTATACATTGTTTGATTATTGAATACTGGAACTAGGTTTAACATGTGTTAATTGATATCAGCAACAAAAGGGTGAGGATATGAATAACCAATAATTCATTTTATTTGACAAAAAAATTTAATGATGTATTGGTGTGGTGTTTTTTATTATTATCCAACTTAACTCTTATGAAGTTATTTTGGAGCATTGGTACTGTAGGCAAAATAAAGGCCTTGGTACACATGCATTTGAAAGAAAACTACCGTAGTTGATGGGACAATAAAGCACTTTATTTATAATCTAGTGGTGATAATATGCATGACCCTGTTTAAGAAAGTTGTTGATGCAAATTGTAATAGTATTATCCATCTCATGGCTCATTATTTCATAGACTTGTGGTGAACTAAAACCTCTATCTGTAGTTCTTTAAACAGCTATTTTACTTGTCATTAGACGTATGGTATTATTGTGTATAAGCTGCATATATTATGTCACTGCCATATTTTGTGATAATATTTGCACATTTTTATGAATTATAAATATTTCGTGACTAACCAATATCCTGTCATTTGGTGATGTTTGTACTTATATAATATGAATTGTCTTCCTCTAATGGTATGGTAAAAAGGGCGAAATTTTTCGTAGCTAATCACCTCTATCTTTAGTAGCGTAGATATGTTTATTATCATAGTTTCATTTTCCTTAGTGTGAAATTTTAAATTTATTTGTCATCTGCTGAAAATAGTGCCTCAACTAACATGACAACACATCATCACTAGCATATATTTTGTTGGTGTGCAATCTGTATAAAAAGTAAATAAATATATATCTCTTGGAGATGTCATTTGGAAATAAAAGAGCAGTACTCAATGTGGAGGGCTGAAGTTAGAAGGTCTAATGCATGGGATTTTCTAGGTGAGCCAGAGGTGCAGAAATACCGGTACCTCCTTTTTTAAGCTGTAGCACAAGGTGCTATTGCAGATATGAAGATTGATGGAAAGTACGTAGAACCAATCTGATATCCCAGACAGGCCCCTTTTTGTCATCGGGATAATACATTCACATCACATAAAATTCATTCAAAGTAATAAAAATATGTCACCATGTCCGTTTGATGTTTTACAGTGTTACTGTTGACCCCATTTTCCTACTCTTAAAAGTCTAAAACAGGGTATAGATTATTGTTAAAGTAAACTAATTTAGTTTGTTACATGTTGAATAACAAACATAATGTGTGTGTAGCTGGATAGTTCATACGCATACCCAACTGTTGTCTAATATTTCGTATCGATCTTCGCCCAGAACAGTGAGACAGATTGCACAGCGCATTTCTGAGACAAGGTTCACCACCTAGTTCTCAACGCGTCTATGTAGATTTCTATTTATCAAGTCCAGTGATTGCCTCTGACTGTCCTATTGATGCTCTTACTAACTTCATTCAGATTTGAGGGGACGGAACCCCATTTCGAGAAAATCTGCACAAAACATCCTATCAGCTTATGAAACTGTACTTTACTCTGACTCTGATGAATGGCATCACAACAACTAATCGAGAGAAAAAAAAATATTTGAAGTTGTTTAATACATGTTAAAAGAATGCTAAATTTTCACAGTGGAGATCTAATAACAATAAATTATTTCTTTTTGTTCACAGCTTTTCTTTTATCTTCCATTTCTTTCAATTTACTTCCCAGTTTACGCTGCAAATTTGCATGTTTATCAGGTGGTAGTTTTTTACTGGGAACACCACTTCCATTATATAACACTCCATCTCTGGATATTTGTCGTCTTGCTGACGAATGTGCTGCAGAGCCGCAACCATGTACTTCAGGCATATGGTGTTGCAAACAGAATGTCTTTTTGCAAAATGGGCAAACCTGTCCCAATAAAGTGGTCGATTGTTCGCAAGAGTTTCCAGCACAAATTTTGTTTGAACGAATTGCCTCGTTAAGTAAATTATCGTCACTCATTTGTGGTTTATTTTTGTTCTTATTTTTCTTAATCTTTGAGTTGTGCGATTTTTGAGAACTTTTAGGATTTTGTTGTTTGTTTGATTGGAATTTATCTTTCATTGCTTTTAAACGTTCACAGTGAATTTCATGGAGTTTTATGTTTTCAGACGCCAGCTTTTTACCACAAATTTTGCAAGTTGTGATCTCAACTTCCT